AGGCAAGCGACTTCGCTCTGAGCAACGAGTGGTCTTTCAAATGTTGAAGAAGTAGTCAGTCGGAAGGCAGGAATTGAAGTATCCAGTTTTTGAGTGCTGGTGGAGGTGAAGCGGCTTGCATTGTTGACAAAAGTGTCTTCCCATTTTTGGAGGATCGTGTGTGAAGTTGGCAGGTGAGAAGGGCTTGCGTGAGGATGTTGTCAGGTGTGAAGAGAGAAGAGATACGTGCGGACGGTTGGATTGGTAAGGAGTGAAGTCTGTTGGGTTTGCCTGGGTTAGTGTCTCGTATCAGACCGTTAAATTTGGTTCGTTCAAAGAATTGTAGTCTGTCATAGTTGTTTTTATGAGCTGAGGGTAAGTGTCCTATTGTCGCCTTTTCTAGTGAAGTTTCTGTCTCGGTAGTTAAGTTACGTAGGATGAGAACGTGGGGTGAAGGTTGATCTATTGAAAGCTTTCTTGACATAATTGAATACTTGACAATTTGCATATGCCCCGCTGAAATTATCGGCAGAGATGACTCACTGCAACAACTGTTGCCACTACAGCGCCTCGAACCGGGGCCCCTGGCGTTCGAGGCTCGACGATGGAGGAGTTTCGACTGTAGCTTGGTCGAATTCAGACGCTATACGGAGGAGAATTCGAGCGACCGGTTGCACTATATAGTAATTTTCCGTCGTTTCTTTATTACTATGTGAATGCGGGAGCAGTGACACACGGACCACGGACCGTGCACAATCTTCCCTTCCGTATCATTGCCTTATTCCACATACACATATACTTACGCAGTGCACGATTACACGTATCGGAAAACCAGTCGGAAGCTTCGAGCTTATCCCGGTTGGTGTGGTACCCCCTGGAAGAGGTTCGTTAGGCCCCCGTATTTTGCATTCCAGTAGGGGAAAAATACTACCACCCCTCAGCTATAACATGCCCCGTCCTCACGGGGCTAATGACAGAAGTATTTGACACGCCTCGAAGTACTGAATCTCCCAGTCCCCAAATGAAAGTACTGAAAAACTGTTAACGAGGTGTTCTTGACACAAGAACCGAAGAAAAGTTACGAACATTTTACATAGGAGAGCGTCTCTCTAGTCTCATTTGTCCAGGCTATATCTCCATAACAAGTGCTCATGTTTGAGAGAACAAAAACAAAACTAAAATTACGTCAACTTGATTTACGGATCTCAAGACATGCAATAGACGACTCGCAAGATAATGCACTCAAGACTCGTGTGTTTTTAGCAGTGGCGGCTCGTGCTTAGGATGCACAACCCACAGATAATCGAAAAAGATTTCATATCTTAGGAATATACATTTTTCTTTCAAAGAAATTCAATATTCAAGATATTGCAGAAAAATCGATGTATATGAAATAATTTTGAAACCAGAGAGTCCAACTTGCGCTCTCTCCTGTGTTTGGTGCCAGGTAATTTCTTGCCAGGTAATGCGCCACGTTCTTGGCTCTTGGCTGTATTACTAGATTTACTGCATTTGCTCTTTGGCCTTTCGATTTAGCACGGGGAACATGGGGCTTTTTGGTGATGCAACCAGACGGGTGGCATTGTCTCAGGGAAAGTCGGTGGGAGTCTCAGGGGAATAATAATTTTTTCGTTTGATTTCTATGCAACGTCATTGTCTGAATTTCGCTTGTTAATGAAGTACACAAGTTCAGATAATTATTGATGGCATTGAATGCATTATTAATGTTTAGAGAATTTGTTTTCATTTGATATTATATTTATTGATTCAAAATTTACACTTGATGAATTATTTGTGTAAAGTTGGCCGTTCTGGAAGGAAGTCCCTTTCTGTCTATATCTGTGGATACTTATTTCTCCCTGCAGCAGCCTAGTTATAGTTACAGAACGTTTGTGTGGAAGGATCATTGTTATAAAATAAGTCAGGATAGTGAAATTTTCGAAATAAAATTATTTTATTTGTGTGAAACATGGCGAAGCAATAGTGCTTGTTGCAATGTGCTGCTGGGCAATTTAAGTGCCCAGTGGAAATCAAAGCCAGAGCCACGTGCACAGGTGTATAATATACCTGACACGGACAAAATCATATATCGCATAAAATTATGTAAGTAATGTTTCAATATAGACTTTTATCTAATATAGTTCTAATTAACTTCAATTGATAAAATTTTTATTATATATTCTTATTGTGTATTTGAGAAATTACATTTCCGTCATTCGATGGAGGTTCAACCTCCAATCTTTTGAGGCACCAGCCGCCACTTTTAGTCTGAGTTCAGGTAATATGTGAACCTATGAAAATACTGATCACAAGAGATAAAATAGTTGTACAGATGTTACACAGGAAAGTTTGGATCCATCCTACCACTTTTCAATATTGTGATACTGTAAAAAATTGAATTTAAAATAATAATTGAAGAGCGAAGGCAAGTAAGCAGTTTTATTATGCTACTGTTCTAATTATAAAACTTGACCACTATTTGACAATAGGTAATTAGCTTAATTTCAAATACCTTGAGAGTCAGGCCGTGAAACAGCCCACTGAACATCTTTGCCCTTTTTTTGTTCTGAAATCTTATCTTCTTTTCCTGTTGATGTAGCTGGGTCTAAAATTAAAAACAAAAATTGTATTCCATTGTACATTTGTTAAGAATGAATATTATCTTTATGTCACATTTTCTCCACAATATTGTTGGCAGAATAAATTGAGATAATAAAATACCTGAATGTTGCAAAGGAAATGGGATTTGGGTCTTCATGATACAGATGGAATGCTCTTTTGTTTGTGAAGCACAATTGTATATATCATATATTGTTTGTTTTTCTTCACAGTGAACTGAATAGGAGGGACAATTGATATCACCTGAAAATACAATTCCTTGATCAGTTAAGTGTTATCAAAGAAAGAGGATCACAAGGATAATTGATCTTAATTGAATCAGTGATTTTAAAAGGGAAATAAGTTCACTTTTTCCCCTCTATGAAAAGAGTTGAGATATACATTTTCTATGTTATTCTTTAAGCTATAGGTCAGTAAAAAAATGAAACTTTTCCAGCTTAAAGTAGGTGTTCTATTCCCAACAAAAGCTTCTAATGGCAGGAAAAGAGAAAGAAGTGTAGGAGTAGTTTCTGGTCCTCACACAGACGATAATCAGGTGATCCACACACCATTATCAGCAAGGAAATGCCTGAATACTTTGTGACAACAGTAATAGACGACAAGGACGATATAGATTTCAAAATCTGGTGCTTGAACTATTTTAAGAAGATAATCAACTATCTTGCTCATCCTGACAATCCTCATGGTGAGCCTGGTATGACTGTTTCCAAGTAAAGCAGCTAACATATAGTAGAGAATATTTTGGTTACCTCCAGGCACACGAGTACATGCATTGATATGTTTATCAAATATTCATATTGGCATATAAAGGAAATAAATGTGTGGAATAAAAACGGTTCTATACATTACAGAAATTCAAATTTGAAGGTACAGAGTTGCCCAGGTAATTTATAACAACTAGGTCTACATATCTTGTGTAGAACATAAATTTCCCAGATGCCAATTGTGGATGTTATTGAGTTTTTTTGTGTTACTCAGAACTAAGGAACTAAGACTTATTTCTCTTTTCAAATCAACGATTCAATTTTATTTATTTAATTGTAGATTTAATATACCATGTGCCATTTTCATTTCACACCAGAACGATGGAAGCAATAATTTTCATGTTTTTCCAGTTTCAATTTCTCTTTATGCTATTTATTGATTGATTCTGCTGATATTTCATGAATATTATTTAGCGTTCTTTGAAATACTGATTGGTAGCTTCTTTTGGTGCGTGAGTTTTCAGATAATGCTTAATTCTTGTGAGTTAACCAACAACTGATGGCATTCAAAGGACTGCTCATGGATTGCTCATGGACTGCTTTCAAAGGAGTGCTCAGGGACTAATGGATATGGGATGCTACTAATTTTGTAAAATTCTGTTTATCGCCTCATTCTGTATTTATTGTCTTTTTGGTGTACTTAGCAGAGTTGCATTTCAACTGCAAGTGTATATTAGTATATTATTTATTTACTTTTATTACTATATACACTATACTAATGAATGTCAGTCAATATATCACTTGTTTATGTTACAAATTTTAACTGTACGTTATCAAATAAAAATACTTTTTATAGCCTCTAAATGGAAAAATTCTTTATAATAAAATAGTGTCAGCTGCACACCTGCACCTGCATTGCCTTACCTTCATATGGCACACAATTAATGTATTGCAAAATATTGTATTAAAACATTATAGACCTAGAGTTCAAAGCACAGCCACCATTGTTTCCCAACTAAAAAGCTTTCAATGATGTGTCATTTGGAGAGCAAAGGTTTCATTTTTCTTTTCATAGTTTGAATGTCTTACACACATGTTTAAGGTAAATTGAAACAATTCAAGGATGTAAGTGACATTTAATATTTTTTAAAAGTATTCACCCCCATCGGTTTTTTCTTTTGTTTTGATTTGTAACAAACAATTTGCCAATCACAGTCTTTCATTGGTTGTTGTTTTTTGTCCTCATTCTTGTTCATTTCGTATTGAACTGTACTGGGAAAATTCAAATTACCAAGATACTAAGTAGAAATATGATAATATCTGAGAAATGCTATTTAAAGACAGTAGTTGAACTAATTTTAAATATGTAATCAGTTTAAACGTTATTATTTTTAATTTCAAGTGTTTTCACTCTTCTTAAAAAGATTGCTTCCAATATTTGATGATACCTCACAATGGCACTCCCTAGTAGTCTTCTAGTCCTTTTTTAAATAGAATTCTTAATACATTTGAATGGGAGTTCATAGGTATTAGTATAGTACAATTTAAAAAAAATACTTTTCTATGTTTAATGCAGTGTAGTCGTTGTGCCCCTCTCTACCTTTGTTTTCATTTTTATTTAATTTTTTTTATTATAATTAGTTTCAGGATTTTTAATCATATTTTGGATATTGTTATGAAATTATTTAACCCACCTTGTGCAGGAAAATATTTCTTTTTTGATGTAAAGTTGACTGGTTGAATTTCATGAGGTTGTCTCTCTTCCTGTTCTATTAGATCTCGTTTTTTATGTGATGGAAAAAAGAAGCGACACAACTTGGTACCTGGTACTGTTCCTGTAAAATTTGAAAGATTTTTCAAAATGTATTGTTTGAAGGAGTAAGTGAGAGATATTCAAAAGCCTTAATTTTAATTTTTCTATGTTGAAGAAAATAGGGTTATACCAACTCTTTTTTTGGCTCTCCATTACTGTACATGTGTTTGCCTAATGTTAAAGCTTTATCTCAAAACTGCATTAGTGTGGCTTATGATTATCTCTCACTGATACCTCCCTTTTGTAGGTTGAGACAAATTACATGAAGAATGCCATTCTGATTTTTCTGTTTTTATCTATCTCTCTCTCTCTCTCTCTCTCTCTTCACTCCTCTCCTCTCTCTCTCTCCACTCCTCTCTCTCTCCTCTCCTCTCTCTCTCCACTCCTCTCTCCCTCCCCTCTCTTTCTCTCTTTTCCTCTCTCTCTTTTCCTTTCTCTCTTTTCCTCTCTCTCTCTTTTCCTCTCTCTCTCTTTTCCTTTCTCTCTTTTCCTTTCTCTCTTTTCCTCTCTCTCTCTTTTCCTTTCTCTCTCTTTTCCTTTCTCTCTCTTTTCCTCTCTCTCTCTTTTCCTCTCTCTCTTTTCCTCTCTTTTCCTTTCTCTTCCTTTCTCTCTCTCTTTTCCTTTCTCTCTTTCTCTTTCTCTCTCTCTCTCTTTCTCTCTCTCGTCTGTTCTTGACTGGTCTTTCGACATGTCATGGTGTTGTAGTGCACATCAGTCTGAGTATAAGGGAAGATAAGACAGGGAACCAAACAATGATCTCGCGCGCTCCGATCCCCTTGAACTCAGATCTCCCGGTATATCCCCAGTTGCTCTAGAGCAGCATTCCAAGCTGGGGCACTCAGTTCTTTGAACATTCAGAAACATCATTGTAACTTTACTTCTGCTAAGAAGGTGTGGGATCACAACGATTTGTCAATTATGAAACGGGAAATATATTCCTACTTGATTGTTAAAACTTTAAACTGTTACCAGGTGTCAAAATATAAAAAATGAATAAATAATAAGAAGAAGAAGAACAACAACAACAAAAACAACAACAACTTCTACGACTAAAGAGACATGTCCAATTCTCAACGAGACAGTTTGGATTTAGAAAGGGACTCTCGACAATAGACGCGATCTCAGGAGCAGTCCACCATGCAGAAACAGCAAAAAGGAATAAGAGTTTTGGTGCTTTGGTTGCGATTGACATCAAAAATGCCTTTAATTCTGCCAGCTGGAAAGACATCATACAAGCCCTAGTAGCTAGGAAGATCCCTGAATACCTTGTGAGGATCCTGGAGGACTACCTCACTGAGAGGAAAATAATCTACACTAACGGGTATACGATTGAGGAAGACATGACCTGCGGTATTCCACAGGGATCAAAATTGGGCCCCTTCCTGTGGAATACCCTATATGACGACCTGTTGAATATCGAACTCCCAAAGAACTCCAGACTCATAGGCTACGCCGACGACACGGTTATATGCCATAGTGACAACACGGAACTACTGGAAATTAAGACCAACGAAACACTACGTAGGGTTAAAAGATGGACCAAAGAAACCTCCAGATGGCTGTTGGCAAGACGGAGGCCGCGTTGATTACAAACCGCAGAGCATTCCGCCCCCCGGTGATCCGACTGGGGGAGGAACTCATTGAATGGAAACGGCTTATTACATACCTGGGGGTGAAAATTGATTCACGATTGAGCTTCGGACCCCATATAAAATCAGCAGGAAAAGCTGCAAAGACTGGATCAAATCTCTCCAGACTCATGCTGAACTCCGGAGGTCCCAGTAAAAGCAAAAGAATGTTAATTTCTGCCGTAGTGCACAAAAATGCCGTATGCCGCCCCAGTGTGGGCAGATGCGCTAGCTAGAGAGTCCATTCGACGGAAATTCACACAGATCCACAGAAGGATGGCACTAAGGATAATCTCAGGATATCGCACGGTGTCCGACAGTCCTGCCATAGTACTGGCCAGTGTCCCCCCAGTAGACCTTTTAGCCGAGAAAAGGAGGACAATGTACCTGAGGTCGACAGCAAACAACAAACCCAGTCAAAAAGACAATTAGACAATATCAAAGCGGAATTGAGAAACCATCTCCTGCACTAGTGGCAAAACTGATGGGACATGGAGTATAAAGGTAGATGGACACACAGCCTCGTCCCTAACATCAAGGATTGAGCCAGCAGGAACCATGGCACAATGGACTTCTACTTGACGCAAGCCTTCTCAGGGCATGGGAACTTTCAAGCATATCTATACAGATTTTAAATCGCTAAAAGCCCGATATGCGCACTATGTCATGAAGACGACGACGCTATGCACACCATATATAGATGCAAAGCTTGGGAGGAAGAAAGAAGAAACTGCTACAGCAAATTGCGACGGGAATTAACGCCTACAAACACAGCCCAGACTATGCTGCAATCCAGAGACAACTGGAAAACAGACTTCGTGGCTCACGTACTAAAAAAAAGAAAGCCACTACTAAAAGCAGAGAGAGCTAAAATACCATAGCGACCATCTGAAGAGGAAAGCTCATGCTCTCAGCCAATCTTCTGCGTGAAGTAATGTCTCAACGACGGTCCCGCGCAGAAGATACCACGGCCCATGTGAATCGAGGAGGTTAGGTTTTAGTCGGTATGCCACGCTGGAGAGTCCGACATAACCGGACTTACCGGTATGCGTAACGCATTTCCCCCTCCTCGGCAAATAATAATAATCATTAATATATTTTTAAAAATTAAGCATCTTTCTTTAATGTCTTGTTAATCTAACCAATTTCACACAGAATGAGTCCATAGTAGGCCTATTATAATTTCATTAATCAATTCACATCTAGGTATGTCATATTTTAATTTTTGCTGATCTTATCCCCAGTTGCTCTAGAGCAGCATTCCAAGCTGTTCAAGGGGATCGGAGCGCGCGAGATCATTGTTTAGTTCCTTGTCCTATCTTCCCTTATACTAAGACTGACGTACACTACAACACCATGACATGTCGAAAGACCAGTCAAGAACAGAATGCTTTCAGACAGTTTTTTAATTCTTTATTATCGGTTTTATACATATTAGTGTTTTTAAAAATTACTTCTTTGTAAGGTAATTACAAAATTCAGTTTTGCATTTTCTGCAAATTCTGTGAATTTGTTTTTAAAAACCAAAGTCAACATCATAATAAATACATTTATGTGTAAATTATTTATTTTGGATGTTCTAAAATATATTGTATGATACCTTATGACCATCAGACATATGTTTCATGAAATTAAACGTAAGTCTTATTTATTTATTTAATGTAAAACAAGTTCTTATCTGAGTTTTCGTTGATCATCAATTTGCTCTCATGGTATTTTGAATCAAACGCAACTTCTCTTTCCTTCTTGGAATATTGTTTTAAAGAAATGCATTCATTAACTTCGTGACATTTTTTGTTTACTCAGTTTTACCGTTTGGTTTCATAATTTAGAGACTAGGTGTTTTTTTGACTTCTTCATGAAGTTTAGGGTGGCCACAATAAGCTCATCACTCATTTGTACTCCCTTTCAGTTATTTGATTCTGTGAAATTCAAGTCATAAAGCTCTTATGTAAGACAATCACTCCTCTTTGACACCAAAAAATTACATTGGATTACACTTGCCAGACCAATACCTGCAGCAAAAACAATTGTAGCTTTTCAGCTAGATTCTTCTCCCTGTTATCTGGTATCTCAAGAGTGTTTTCATTAGCATTATTTTCTCTTGTTCTTAGTGAAAAAATAAAGACATTTCTTTAATGCCTTCACATAGATTTTCTCCTTCAGATTTATTCTTATATTTTTTGTACATTGTCATTTTAATTTTACCTTTATTAAATATCTTAAATCTTCATCTATGATACATAAATTGATTGTGAATATTTCTGATATGATGCGAAGTGCTGATTTTGCTATTGTTTTGTATATTCGATTTCTCTGTCTTTTATCATATTTCTTTCAAAATGTTTCATTGTCCCATTTAATCTACAATATTTTGGGGTAGTTTTTGCCTTTTTTTCTCTTGACTAACAAAGACTGACAAAAAATGAAGTAGAAAACATTACCATTATCTGAAACATAGGTAATTTTTTTCAAGTAGTGTGCTATCTTTAAACACAGAAGATAATTTTTTGCTCCAAAGTCATGCAAAATTTCCTTATACATTTGAACTATAATTCATTAATTGTGTGATTAAAAAAGAAAATCTTTGAAATTCATGACTACTTCATAATAAGCAGCCTTGATGGTGTAGGGCCTTCAAGAGTGTTGAAGTGAATTGAGCCAAAGGAGGTATGCCTCAATTTCTCGCCACAAGGCTTTGTTGTTTTTATCATGTTTTCACCAATCAATTTGTTGGCTTCTCATACTTCCATGTATTCTGTCTGGACCATCACCTTCTCTTCATATTTTACATTCAAAGGCAATGACAAATGACAACTGTGATTACCTTACAGAAAAGCGGCAACAATGACCTCCCACATTTATATTTAGTAATGAATGTATTTAGGACTCCTTTTCATCATCTTGCTATAAATATTTTCTATTCCAAGCTCACAATTCATGTTTTATTTGGGATAATCATTTTCTTGTTCACATATTTATTTAATCAGTTCATAATAGTGTAAAATAAAATGTGAGACAATCATGAGCACATTCGACATCTCGGGTTCAAACATGTCAGTTAAGGGAAAGTTACAATTACACCAGAATTGATATATGTCTCATTTTATCAAAACAACAGAAATGCTGACCAATTTTATCTGGAATACGCTTCATCCTCTAACTTTAAAAGGTCAGTTGAACCTCTAATGTTAAATGCGTTGCCTTACCTGTTTGTAAAGTAACTTTTGTTTCTTTGCGGCTTTGTATTCCAGAACCAGAATTTTTCCAAATTTTTACTTGTTTACCAGAATTGTTCCAAATTTGTTTTTCATTTGAGGGTTGGGCACGATCTGAAACTAATTTCAAAGTCATGTAGATTGTAATTCAGAAATTTTAGATGGTTCCTCCTAATCAATTTGTTCATCAAGGAAGTAATGTATGTAGGCCTTTATTAAAATTTGTGATTTCAAGTAATATATTATGTACGAGTGGCAATATTAACTCTTCCTACGTACGTTATGTGTACCTTGTTTTGTGTGTACTTCTGCATATTTCAGAGATTTTTGCAGCAAAAAAAGTATTGATATTTTTTAACTTCTATGATTGTGGAAATTGTGTTGATAATGCTGTTACATACTGAAGTATAATTGTTTTATTATTACTTTGCAGAGCTTTTTCTCTTAATAATTCATACTCTGCAAATAAACAATTTTTCTTTAAAAATATGTGCAAAAACCTGTCCTCTCTTTATTTCATGTCTTTTGTCCTAAATGCTACAAAACAAAACTGTGAAAATTAACTAAAGAAATATCAGATACCTTTGGCTAATTGTTTCTTTCCTTGTTTGACCAGTTGTGTTGACATTTCTTTTTCTTTTGTTTCTTCTCCAATGTTTGACATTCTTGAATTATAATAAGTCATTTTAACTGCTCCTAAAAATAAATCTCGTGAAAAAATAATAAGAATAATCCATGCAGTTTTAAAAAGTTGAAAATGAAAAGCTTGAAGTGTAGAATTATCATTTAATGAATGAAAATAAATTTATTTTGATAATGATGTAGTAATAATTTAGTAGTAGTAATAGTTGTGATACCTTCTGTAGTTTCCTTTTTCATGTCCATGATGACGTCTTCCCATGCTAAAAAAGTAGATGGTTCATAATTTTAAGACCCTCAGTGTTATTATTTGTGCAGGGATTAAGATTCACAACAACTATAAATATAAATCACATTTGCCATTGTTATACTTACAGTGTTTAATATAATCCACTACATCCCTCGTATTTCCTTCCACCCGACATTTTCTACCATCTTTACGATTACTTGTAGCAGGTTTCATGTTTCTGGAATTTTAAAGAAATATTTATGATATGCTTCACAAAATGCTTAGGAATAAATCTATGTTAGGAGTCATTAATAACACTTCTCAAAAAAATTCCAATCAGAAGAAAACTAAAAGCAATATATTGAAAGGAAATAAACTTATTTAGAGACAGAATATAACAACAAAATCATCTCTGGCCTGTAAATTTAGAAAGCTTATCTTTTTTTTTTCTCTTGTCATCACTTTTGCAGTTTTGAATAATGTTCCAGCAGTAGTTCTTAAGCATTGAACGCATCCATTTACATTCGCATTGCTTTTCCATGGTCATTATGTTTTTATGAAATCTTTCATCATGTTCATCCGAAACATCACTGCAGTTCTCAGGTAAATGTAAATGCAAAATCAAGAAAATGCACTATTAAGGAAATGTTGCATCTGAAATTTCTATATGAAAATATGGGCTCTTGGACTAGTTCTTCATAGTTGTTAGCTCTTTTTCTTTTACTAAACAGTTTTCCGTTACGTTCCTGAAACCTCCATGTGCTTTCTCTTTTGATATTAGTCTTTGTTCAAAATTTGTATTTCAATTTCTCTTTTTTTTTTTTTGGAGACTCACAAACATACCTTTTATTTTTGCACCCAAAATGCGAGTAAATTTTTGTGAAAGATAAATAAACCCTCTTCCAGATGGATTCAAAGTTTTGACAAATTGTCATCAGACTCGACTTAATGAGAATTGGAAGGAGAAGGACATAATCACTTGCTTTCAATTTATCTTTCTGGCTAATTTTTCTCCCACTTTCCATTTGTAAGGCGAAAACTTCCTTTGTGTAGGGAATTTCTGTCGCGGCCATCCTACTCGTACAGAAAATATCCATATTTGGTGTAGCCATTCCCAATAACGCGAAAACTGTGCATGACAACTAATTTCTAATTACAGATTTAAATTTCTCATTCTAATAACTTTTAGAAACATACATTGGCTTATAAGAAAATTGACCCGTGTAAAACAGTGTAATTCGTTAAATGGAAATGTCCATGTATGCACATGCTTACGATTGTCTAATATTACCAAATAACTAGATAGCTTTAGTATGTTCATAATTATAAAATATAGTGTTAAAAAGTTATGTTTTTTCGTGAGACTTACAAGAAATCACAAGAAAAGAAAAATTATCTAAAGTCGTACTTACTTTTAGCGTTAAAATTCAACTTCGCTTCTTAAACAGATGAACAAGACCATCAATATGGTTTGCTGTGTTAACAAATGTGTTTAATTACCCATAATGCAAAAATACAATAATGAATGCGCGCACATTTAAAGATTACTTGAATTGCGGGCTGTAAATGCCGCTACTATCACGAGAGCGCGCCAAGAGCAAATCGACTCGACGCGCGGAACTCAAATGTCATGAGAGATTAAAAACCATGTGTTTACATGTGCGTTGGTATCCTCTTACATTAAAGTCCATCAAATCAATTAATATTTTAAGTTATTTTATTGACATCAATGACTAGTCACGTTTTCCGTCACAATGTCAATCGCATCATTAGCTATTCTAAAGTCAATTTTAACAATTAAAATGTTTCTTTCTTCGTAAAAATTTAAATAATAATAATAAATAATAATAGACAAAACAAAATTTATAAACTAGAATTGTAGTTGAAAATTAAATTAAATATCCAAAGAAAAAATAAAGATCTATAGATGATTGCAGCAAAATTTAAAATGGTATTTAACATAGATATATAAGAACGAAACACGTTTTATTTGAGACAAAGAAAGGAAAAACACATTTAAAATCAAATTATAATAAATTAAAAGAAAATTAATCAAATGTTAAAAGAACTAATCATATAAACATGGATGTCAACAAAATAATTGTGAAAATATTAATCGATTTGTTTTTAATATAAGAGGATACCTCTCCACATAAAAATGTCATGAGAGGTTGGATTTCATATGGTTTTGGCGTTCGCGGATAGGTTTCTTTTCAATTTTAAAGGCATAGTTCGTTCGTAATTTTCATTGAAATGCTTCTTACGATGACTTCTCTTTATGGGGTATCAGTTCTTTTGTTGCTTTAAATCCACCATTTAAAATCCTGACGGTTTCACTATTAGTAAACTCTCTAAGTATAACGATTCAGTAGTTAAGAGTAATCTGCACAAGAACGTTGAAAACTGAAAAAGTAGTTTGTTTCGAGGTTAATTCTTGATTGGCAAATCATTTATCTTAATTATGGTTAGTGTTCTCGGTGGATTGCCTAATGAGCATACACTATTTTCAACTTCGCACGTCTTCAATATCCATTTTGTCTTGCTGCTGGTAATTGGTTATCAGTATCTTGCATTTCGCTTATAATATCCATCAGAGAGGAAGAAGAATTAGGTCGCTGTAAGCGATCATTGTTGCAATCAATAAATTCTCTTGCGGTAAATAATTGGCGAAATGCCATTAAAAAGTATGTACACCAGGCAAAAATGGACAAAAATTATTAGATGCATACTTGGAAATGGAGATAATAGGAATCAAATAAAAACGAATATTCTAAGAGAAAGGGGTTTCGACCAATTGTTTTTAATTGTAACGAGTTCTACGAAGTCATTGTATTGCTTTCGCCATTAATATCGACCGATTTTTTTTCAAATGGGTAATCAACAGTCATATACCTGGGTTTTTATTTCATGGCGCGCGATGCCTTATCTTCAAGATGGAATATCTCACGGGATTTCGCGTCTTTCTCAGTCGTGTCTCATCTCTTTCTCAGCCGCTATTCTCGCGCGATCGTGCAGAGCAGTGCTGGAGATCATGCGACATCTATTTTAATTTATGTTAAATATTTGTAAATAATGGTTAAATATGTTGGAAACAATGAAAAACAAGCGTTTCAAATTTTTGCGTATACTTTTCACAGGAAAAAGTTTTTGATGAACTTTATTTCATTAAGATGTTTTTGATGAACTAATTTCCTTAAAGATAAAAAAATATCTTTAATATTCTAGTTGTAGGATGGCGACGAAAATATTTTAAACTTTTGCAACTTTTGAAAGTTCAATCAATTCAAAAAACGAGATATGTGCCATTTTGTAAGCGTTTTTGTTCCATCTTGTGAAAAAATTAAACAAATTTTAAACTATTTCAGAGAAAATTGAGAGCCAATTAATTGTTCGGTATTAAGGATCCACAAAACGTGGATTTTGAGTTCGTGGCGTAGCGTAGAGGGTGCGACCGGGGCGGTTTGCCTCGGGCTGCATTTTTAAGGGGCAGCAAAATTTCATAACTAATAATTAAAGTAATATCGTGTTAAAATTTTGAAGCATTTCATTTCACATTTTTGTCGCACCTACGATTTGAACCGATTGAAATGAACACAGAATCTTTCATTACTTATTCTGTGAAGACTTCTTTAAATAAATATGTAATAATGACATCTTATCGTTGTAGCTATTGGCAACACTGTACTGACTTGTAGGGATTGCCCGTATTTTATTTTGTGCTTTGTAGTGTAGTAATTTATTATAATTTGATTTTAAATGTGTTTTTCCTTTCTTTGTCTCAAATAAAACGTGTTTCGTTCTTATATATCTATGTTAAATACCATTTTAAATTTTGCTGCAATCATCTATAGATCTTTATTTTTTCTTTGTATATTTAATTTAATTTTCAACTACAATTCTAGTTTATACAGATGTATTTTATTTTGTGCTTGGACTGCTTATAACTAATATTGAGCAAGAATGACTTCTATCATTTAAAGTCACTAAAGTGGTCATTATTGTATAATAACATCTGCAAATTAGATTAAAGTACGAATGAGTCTCTTTACGGGAGTTCGTAAGGGATTCTTTGACAATTTAAAGAAAGTTTCATTGATGGATCGTCAATAGTCCAATTCACATTAAGCTAATGGCACAATATGTTGGAAGAAGTAATTTACTATAAATATGAACAAGATTGATCCACTTTTTCGGGATCAGGGCCCCAAGTAAGAGTTTTTCTGTCGAAAAAATGCCGTTTTTGCCGTAATACTTTCTCTATGCTGTGTATGCTGCATGCGAGAGGGTAAAAATCGAATTAAAAATTCACGGAAACGTTACGGAATGGTTAAAAGAACTGCGGAACGAAAAGGGAAACATTAATGTCACATAGAACATGACATGTTCGTGTAACATAGCTTGTTCTTATCATCCGTTTTTTTAATTTATAATTTTTAACAACCAACAAAATATTGTACGTTTTGTGTGACAGCTCCCGATTTAATTGAGCCTCACCTTTTTTGGTTTCCCAACTTCGAAGCGCACGGTTTTGGTTCGGAAAGATGTAGGAGCTATTAAGAAGTAAACTCACTGTCCCGTATGTGGTAATTATCGTTTGCAATATGTGGTTTCCTTCGACACGCGACACTCAGTGTGATGAAGGGATATTTTTTTCGGACACTAAATAAATCATTATCACAGATTAGGGTGGAAGCCCATTCCGAAGAGGCATGGCAATCTCCAAGTCATCCCTTGTAAATTCGTTAACGTGTTTCATAATGTCAGATACTGTGTGATAAAAGGCAGGCCAGTTGCCACAATCCAATAGATCAGGCAGACCAGTAGCCATGAAATAGGGTATTACTTGGAGGAGTAATGTCCTATCCAAAATTTGCTCAGAGACGTCTTCAGTGCCTTTAATGAGGTTCTATTACAGGCATAGGTTACAGGGTTCTATTACAGGCATTACAGGCTTGGGTCATGGGTTCTCATTAGGGTTTCTAACCGTCCTCCATTGACGTCAATTGTCCTCTCGTCCTGCTTTGTATTTGAAATGTTTTCCTTTTAGTAAATTTGTAATATTTGTCATTTTTTATCGCATGACTATCAACTGCTACGTTGTATCGTTTATTGTTTAATTTGGTACAAAACATGAATATCCTTCTTCTAAACGCTGACATACGCACATGACACACGCATGCATTATAGTGTGACTGTCTAGCGACTAAAATAAATAAACAAAATCTATAATAGGCTTTGAACCTATCAACAGCAGAATATAAGCTGCGAATAAAAGGCAAATTTTGCAGTATACCTCTGGTAAGTATCCCTGCTCCAACAGAAGATGCAGAACCTGAAGAAAGTGAGAAATTCTGTAGCGAAGCGATGAATGTGTGTGATCAAGTACCTAAATATATTTTATTGATTCTAGGAGATTTCAGTGCAAAGATTGGAAGGGAACATCAAAAAGTAAGGTAGCAGGCATCTATACAATACATTCTGTAACGAGCGATACTGGCAAACTAATTATACAACTGTCACGATTCCAAGATCTTATAACAAACAGCACAAGATTCACTCATAAAAATATTTATAAAGGAACCTAGAAAGCACCGAAAGAGAATGTGGTACATCAAATTAATTATGTACTTGACATCGTATATGATAGTCCCCATTGATCTTAGTGCCGCGGCCCCTTAAATTGAATATTTTAGTTTTTTTAGGGGGGGGTACTTTATAATCCACTCACGTTTTCTTGGTCCCTCAATTGGCTAGAGGACAGAAGAAAAAATCTGGAAAAGCAAGTTCAAACACAACTACTGAAAACATTTTGTGCAGTTGTGAATTTTTGCGATTTAATAAAAGAAACACCTTACTTCCTTTCATACATGATTCATAATTTCACTTTGTTCTTTGATTTCTTATCACAAATAACTTGAAAATAAATAAAACGTTAAGTACATCTCGATTCCATCAAAACCTCCAGGAAATTTTGTTTTCTCAGATAAGAGTAATTGGACGAACTTACGATCATCCTCTCAGTGTTGAATTCGAAAGTAGCTTAAGTCGTGTTATAATGAGCAGAAATGTTACAAATATAACATTAAACAGTTCTTGTTCTGTAGCTGTTGACCAAAATGTTAATGCATATCTTACATCTTACTTATTTAATGGGTTCACTTCCAATGTGGAAGGTCTGAAAGTGGTAAAAGATGACTTAAAGGTAGAACGAGATGATGTTAGATTTTCCCGTATGGCCATCGGAATCGACTTCGAAATGTATAACTGAAGATCTACGCTATATACTAGCTGCGTATTAATAAGTACGTAGTATTAATATTAGTACGTAGCTCAAGCGTTGTATAACATATGATTGTTCTTTTGGCATAGATAATGAACAAATGGAGATAGTTTTTCATTCAGAGGAGGTTGGGTAGAAAAATTGTCTTGGGGTGACTTGATTGTCCTAGCAAATAATTAGTTAAATACAATAAATCAGTGGACAGAATAATGTATGCAAAGACCGGAATGTGGTACGGAGACTTTGCAAAATTTTGTCACAGAAAATCTTTGAATCCTCAATTGGTACATTTATACGCCAGGGCAAGATGATCTGATGGATTTAACAAGCGAAAGGCCAAAATGCGGCAGGCTTCATTATTTTTTTCTGTTTCAAAGCAAAGTTAAGATGTATGTTTATTTTTTACTTTTCTTGTTTTCGGATTTTGCTTTTTTTCCCCTCTGAATAACTAGGGGATTATTGAATGCTATAAAACGTAATGTAATATCGTAGTTTCCAAGAAACGGGTTAAGACAAAGTTAAATCATATGAGCTGATTGCATTTTAAGTTCAGTTTAAAATGCGATGCAGAGCGCTGTTAGAAACATGTTATGGCTGGATTATCACTCACTTTAAGAAGCTCCTTTCAGAAAACTAGATAGTAATTGATTTAAGATATTATTGTCATTCGTTATTCCAAGCAAACATGTATAAATATTCTTCTGTATATTAGAATATTTTGCGTTATTTGACGTTGTCTACATGCAGCCGCATGGGCGCGACGGCGAGTTCTCGATAGTGACGTTGTGCGCAGAAGCCATCGTGCATCCATCCATTTCGCCCTACGTCTTATTCTAAGTATCTTGATAAAGACGTATACTATACTGTCGGTGTAACCTAATCCGTTCAGGATATTCTTTGAGGGTGGAAATTTCCTTGTCATTCTAGGGAGATGTTATAGTTGTTTGAAACCCAGTTTTAATTGTCGAATTTCTTTAGATATAATAACTTTAAAAGAAGTAGTTTTCGCATCTTTACTTTGATTTATTTATAATGGCACTTGACGTTTAATCCGATATTACAGTGTCATCCAATAGGGAGCTGGAACGTCACCATAATGACGATCAAGTTTCTTATTGGATGACACCATAACATCTGACTTACGTCAAGCGCTACTACAAATAAATGGAAGGACAATGTTCTACGATTTTCGATAAGTTTTACAAGTGATGACTGAGATGTGTTAATATAGACAGAAATTGCGGGATTATAATATTACGTAACCGTAATATCAGTAGTTCTCGCGATTTTTTAAATTTTTAAATTAATTTATTTATTGACTTTTTTTATTTAACGGGTGAAAACAGTTAAAATTGTTTGTTACGTACTATGGGAGAAGTATATTCTGTTCACGTTTCTTACAGAAGATCGCTTCCTGAACCCATTTACAAGTTGAATTCTGAATACAGATGGAACTATGCGTTTTTGCGGAAGAATTGATAATAAAATATATGCCAAACGAACGTAGGCGATGGGAATGAAACTATCACGTTTCATAAAAACAACTAAGCTGGTTTGGCCACATAATAAGAGTGCCAGAACAAAGGCTGGTAAAATGGTCAATTTAAAAATCTCCACCCCTTTCGCGCATGACCCATTAACGTTACTGAGCTATGCTTGGGGGCTTGGCTCCTCCTGTGAGCTTCAGTTCCTGAAGTGACCTTCCACCAGCGACAGAGAGGGGCTGGGCAATAAGACCAATGCCCCCAGACCTTATCTCCCAATCCACTGAGGGCATCGAGTTGCGCTGAACCAATCTGCCCCAAGGGGAGGGATCCATCTGCTGATAAGTCCCATCTTGCTGAAGGCGCCCTCTCTCTGTTATTCATCATCCTCAGCTTTAGCTGGCCTTATACTGCCACTGCCTACCTCCCAGATTTAATTTTATCTTTGGAAAACCCCAATACCAACAACACAAGAAACTATCTCACAAATTGGAATATTCTCCTTGTGCCGTAACATCTGTGTTAAAGTTCAAGAAATAATGAAACTATGAACGATACTTATAAAATAGATTATGGGTGAGCACCCATTATGTAATTATTTAGTATGATTATTTTCAGCAAATTAAAAAAATCATTTAGTCAGATAAAACTCAAAAGCCATCATTGAATGATGCTTCATTGGTGATATGTACTACCTTTAGTCATGGTTGAGGGGAACAGTCATAAATGTCCTAGAACACCTTATTTAGATGATTAAATTGGTACTTAAACTTTGCTTTCCATGCCACAAACATAAGGTGAAAAAATCATACACATTACATGACACTTGTAATCACTATTCAAGCAAAAACCAGTTTCTGCACTGCAATCTACAATATAATTTGAAAATTGCTGTAAGCCTCCAATTTCTTTCCTTCGCTAAAAGATTAATACAGTAGAATATGTTTTGAAAGATCTACTTTCTGAAAGTGTTTTGCATTATCTATTTTTAAAATGTTTGAATATCATCATTTTGACATTTCATTTAAACTTTTTAAATATAATAATAATAATAATAATAATAATAATAATAATAATAATAATAATAATAATAATAATTAATAATAATAAATAATAATAATTTATTGTTGTTTTTATTATTATTAGTATGGTTTGTCAACCACAGTGATTGTCTATTTCCTTATACACTATTAGGATTAGTTTCCTTATGGGATTAAATTAAGACAATCAACACTTTGTGAAATTTATTTCAATCAGTGTATTAAATAATAAGTTATTTAAAATCAATTTTACAAAGTGTTGATTGTCTTTAATTCTATAAGGAAACCAATCCTAATAGAGTAATAATTGTTTCTTAAATTGAGCCCAGGGTGTTTCTAATCAGTCTATGCCGAGGGGCCTAAGATCACCAGCTGGCTTTCATTTTACTCAAACGTTAATACAAATGTTTATCTGTATAGAATATGCATTTTATGTAAAATTCATTCTAATGTTCATTTCACTCTGCAAGAAAATTAACGCCTCAGCCAGTAGAAATGTTTTGTATTTAATATTAACCAATGATTTGGGTATAATTTTCAATTGGTATTTGAATGAAATTTGCAAGTCCATTAGTTGAAATGTTGACAGGTTATAATACAAAATTTTAATGCTCAATGAAGAAGGGGTGTGGAGAATAAAAATCTAACAGAAACTCAAATATCTCTGTTGTCATTAGTAAAGATTTTCAGAGCAACATTTATGGAAAATTTATATTACTCACAATTATACTTTAGAATATTTTTACTTCCAATGTACTTAAAGTAGCATCTCTGTTTTATGTTTTTGGTCGTACACTTGTACTGGATCTCATTATGAAATTGTGAAATTAGTAATTATAGAAAATTATTGAAGAAATTATTATATGAATATTATTTTGTGTTTCAGATTATGATGTCAAATCCCCATCAGCTGTTGATTATTCAGATATTGCTGAGTTGGCTGAAGATGAAGCAGGAGAGGGTAAACCAAGTTATGAGCCATCAAATCAATCTGCAACTGTAAAGACAGAAGATGGCACTGACTATGATGCTGATGATGAAGGAACCTCCTTGAAGTCTGACACACAGTTGATGCCCCCACCTCCTCTTCCAAGTGATAAAGATGATCTTGATGCCTCTGCAGATGCAAGAAATAAAAGATTGGAGACTCCGCTTGCTGCAATGCTTCCATCAAAATATGCTGATGTGAATGTGACAGAAATATTTCCAGATTTTCGTGTTGATAAGGTATAAAAAATAAGAAGAATAAGAGTTACAGATTTTTTGAGATTTTAATGTTTACATTATGTAATTATATTTTCATATTCTGCATATTTACTTACTAACAATGTAACATCCTTTCATAGCTGTCTACATTCAGTGTTAAATGGAATTTCCTCCAGCATACGTGTATTGAATTACATGTTTAACAATGTATGAATTCATTGAATTGTGTTCATTCACTTCTAAAATGTCCGTACTTTTGGATAGAGGGTAGTTTAGCATTGAACTTTTACCTAAGGAATGTTACTAAATGGTTATTGAGTGTGGATTATGCTTTTAAAATGGTATCACATTAGGGTTTTGAATGATTGGCAGTGTACTAACAAGAATTTTCCACCAGACCTTATGAACTCATCAGATTTCATTGGTGGATATAAGAAATATGTCTAATAAAAGCATACCTGGTGTTGATGAATATCCTTTCCTCACCACCCAGCGTGTGATGATAGGTCTATTAATACAGAAGAACAGTAGGTTATGAGTAACTTATGCTTTATCCCACATGACCAGTTACCATTTTCTGAAGGTAATTTCAACAATAGTGGAGAATACAAAATAAATTGGAATGAGTTACTTACCAAAGTTAAGGGTAATTTCCATGAATAGGTTTCAAGTTGTAGAATAAAATCTTATTCAAAATTTGTTGAAAATAACTTGCATAATAAGGAAAAATACACTATTTGTCATTTATAGCTATGTTTCATATAAAAATTGGTAATTTACAATTTGTATAACATTAATGTGTGGTTGGTGTGTTTTATTGTTTAGAGGGTGTTGAGAGATTAATTTTTACCAAAATGTGGAAAGTGCTCATTTAATATATCAGCTATTTCTTGTGGGTCTTGTAAAGTTTGGTTTTTGTAGTGGAGCTCTATATTTTTCTGTTATAAGTTGGCGCTGTAGTCCTTTTGATAATGTCCCCCATAGCATTTGTTTTGTTACGTGCATTTGCATTGTACTTATCATTTTGTCATAGTTTTTGCTTGTTTGATTACTTCTTTTAGGATCGAATTATGTTTTGTAGTATGAAGTGAAGTTGGAGTTACATTTATTATTTGTTAGTATTTTAGGCATGTTGCGTTTTCTTTCACATGACACTTTGATGCCTTTGGTAATCCATGATTTGGTTTTCTTATTTTGGACCTTTTTGTATTTTTGTGGAAAAATGGCATTGAAATGTCTGAAGAATATATTTATGAATGAATTAAACTTATCATTTGTATCAGTTACCTTATACACTTCATTCCAGTTTTCAAATCTGAGTAAGTTTTGAAATTTTATTGTTTCGTTGGGAATAGTTATAGATTTCTTTGTAAGTTGTCTGTTCTGTGATTTTTGTTTCTGTTTGAAGTGTTAGAACCTGGGCAGTGTGGTCACGGAAACCTGTATTAAATGTAGCAACAGAGAAACAATGGCTATTTGCATTATTATTTGATCTATAGCAGTGCTACTATTTGTAAATATTCGTGATGGTGTATTTATGGTTTTGTATATTGTTTGATTATAGTAGGACTGTAAATAGATTTTCATTACTGGATTGTGTGAGGCAATTTATATTGAAGTCACCACGAAGAATAGTTTTATTCTGTCTGCGGTTTTTAACTTTTGTTACAATTTCCAGATTTTTTAAAAAGATATTAAAATTCCCAGTAGGGCTGTGATATGTGCTTAAGACTCGTGTTTTTATTGTAGTTAAGTCAGTGATGGATATTTCAAAGGCTTTCTCTTTTATAAGATGACTGTGACTAGTGTAGAGTACAAAACTAATACAGTAAAACCCCTCTTTAACACTTTTCAGGGGACCGATGAAAAAAAGTGTAAAATAGAGGAAAGTTGAAAAACGATAGGCTTGGCGAGTACTTATTAATTAGCGATGAATTATTTACTGCTATGGTTACTCTGTTTTCACTTTCTCGCCCTTCGTAAGAAGAGAAAGTAAAAGCATGCGCCGGAGTCGGAATTTTGGTCAGAAAATCTCCTATTGACGTGTTCTGGTAATGAAAAAGTGGATAAATCATATTCCTAATATAGTAAACACTTCCCCTAACACGCGGTGTAGCCTGAATCCCTGTTTTATGGGCCCTTGAAACCGTAAAATCGATTGACGGCTGTTTTTTCGGCTGAAAACGTCTGTATGCCCGTCAGTGGTCAACGCGAGCGCCTAAACCGCCTGCCGATTTTCTCCAAAATTGATATTCCTCGATTGATCTGAACGAACGCGAGGCTTTTGCGAGTTCGTTACATACATATGTAGTAATATTCTACATATTGGAACAGGATTTATCCACTTTTTCTATATCAGTTTGAGTTTTTCTGTCGAAAAATCGCGGTTTTTTGCCGCAGCGTTACATAACTTTCTCAGCACTAGGTATAAAACGTACGTATACGAGAATGTAAAAAAAAAAAAAAAATCTAAAAGACAGGAAACATTCTTCCTATCAAGTTGTAAATTGCGGGAAAAGAGTGCATTGTAAATATAGGCTTTTTCATGGGACCAACGAAAAATTACGTAAAAGGCTGGAAAACGTAAAATGCGGGAAAGTACAAACGGGGTTTTACTGTAGTAACTTTAATAAAATGGATGTCCCACCATATGCATGATGTGCATTGTTAATATTTCAACATGAGCTCCAGGCTAAAGGGAAAGCTGGTATGTTTGTAGTATCTAATTGTTTTTTTGTCAGCCAGTGTTCTGTGAAGCACAATATTGAAATGTGGTTGAGTTTCTCTTCAAATAATATTTCTATATCAATGAGTTTATTGTCTGCTCTCCTGATACTTCATGCTACAGGTTATACCCAGGAGTGGGATTTTGGTTGCTACAGAATTTGTATATACCAATGAGTCAGGGAGTAGGAAGTGTGAAAGTAGATGAAGGAGCTGGGGAGGATATGAAAGGGGAGGAGAAAGTTGGAAGAAGTGGAGTGGGCAGGAGAGGTGTAGGGGTAGGAGAAGGAACTGGTGTGGGTAAGAGAGGACTGGATGCTGGTGAAAGATGAATGGGTTAGAGGGATGTGGAAGAATGGGTGGGAGATGGATGAGGGGTGGCAGGGGCAGGTGTTCCTAGGAGGTGCAAGATGAGCATGGCTTTTGTCTACTTTGTTATTTGTTTACTCATTAAATGACATATGAGTAGTTAAACTATGACTTTAACGTCAATATAAACTTGAAAGGTTACTTAGCCCCCCATCTCTGTACAGCTCTTTTTTCCATTAAATTAACATTATTTTATGTGAATGAAAAAATCTGAGAAATAAGAAAATAATATATACAGTGGAACTCCAGTAATCTGAACTATTTGGAGGTGTGGTCTGTTCGGATTATCCCAAAAGTGTAGTGCTGTACATATACCAATACATCTATAGGATTATCTGACAATGCAATATAGGGTGCGTGTAAGAAAATGGCAATGTAGCGTAGTGATTGCATCATCACATTCCATCATCAAGCACATGCAGTTCCTAATGCCAAAAGAAGATTACAGATTTTGAAAGTTCCTCTAAGTGAAAATTACTGCAAAAGAAACTTGAGATATACACCATAGTTACCAGTGCAATAAATGTTTCTTTTCGTTAACTTTTGTTTCATTAATTAGTTGTTCAGTTCTACAGTTCATGACTTGCTTTACACCACATATAAGTGTTATTTATTTTGTTTATTTTTCCTTCCTGAATTTCGTTCAGATTATGTGAATTATTTTTCACATTTTTTCGATTTCAGGGCTGTAGTTAACCTATTAAACTATTTGTACCTCTCATCTTTAAATTACTTATAATTTTAAATACACTTTGATAATGACTGTAACAGTTCCGTACATTTATTTTAGTATTTATTATATATATGTATACATTGTAGCATCCACTACTTTTTTCACTTTGGAATTTAGTGACTAATTATTAGGGAACAGAATTTATTGTAATAAAAAAGCAAAATGTTTTCATGTATGTATTTATTTTCTCCAAAATATGTAAGAAAAAATAAGTAAAAAACATCATTAGAGTATTTAAAATTGCTTTATATAAGCATTTTCCAAGCACAGAAGTCACCAATGAGATCGATTTGGAGTGCCTGAAAGAAAGTTCTACCTATACAGACAATTGTACACTAGTCATCACACATAAGAGTTGCTTCAAAATAAAAAGTACGTGAATAGTAGTAACATGTAGCCAGTAATGTATCCCTAATGTGGGAAGTGGAGTGTGTGGAGAGAATATTCCTCCCCTCCAATTTGCCAATGCGATAAGACAGTGATTCGTAAAAAATATTTATTAGTTATCAATCACCTTATGAATGTGCTATTTGAAACATGAGCCAGCATGTGATTGAAACTACTTCACATACATCCACCTGTCCTTGACTCTGGGTACGCACTTTCCATGAAGCGGGAGGTGGAGTAGGTTTGGCAAATATATGGTATTCATAGAAGCTCTGTAGCATTACATTGCTTTGTACAAAAGATGATTCCACAACATATATTGAAAACATCCATTTGAAATGTTTTGTTTTTACATATAAATACTTTAAAATGTAACAAAATACATAATAATAGGTAAAATTGAAAAAATATGTAATTATATTAAAATATGTTTAAATATGCCAAATGAAAATGATTCTGTTTTATTCAGAATACCTTGTAAACTCTAAAAAAATATTATTGAATGCAGGTATCTTGTTCGTGTAAAAAATGTAATTGTAACTTTATAGTATGTTTGTATAGTACACCAACATCATGCACCAAGGGAAGATGATAGTTTTTGGCCTTTTATGAGAAACGAGTTCGAAAACAGGTGATGGATAAGTGTAGGATGTGGGGAAATGAAGTGATAAAGGTAGGATGTGGATTTACAAGAACTTTTTCATTGTGTCTCAGAACACCAGTACAGACTTAAGAATATCTGGAAACTTCCTCTCAAAACACCTTTTTTCATAATTTTTCAATTACTGGACCATATAAAAAAAAAAAATAAAAACTTTGGCATCTGCAGTTGTTTCAGGCTAGAAGGCTAAGGTTAAGAATTTATTCTTGTGTATTGTAAAATATGTACAATCTGGATGTGTGCAAAAACTCTCGTAAATGATAATTGTTTGAAAACTGAAAATTGATTTAAAGTAGAACCCAACTGTAAATGGCCATCCCCTGAACTGTGTGTTACATCATTATACACCCAGTACTGTGAGAGAAACAATTTCACTATTGCTGAGCATCGAGATTAAAATGTAGAGGAAATCAAATATTCCCTTTAATTTTTTTCATGAAAAATATTTTCTACATTGTTTCTTCTATTTAATCTTACGTAGATTTTTGCTTGGGCATTGCACTGTCCATCCATGCTATGGTTTGAGCCCAAAAAAACTAATGCTACAAGATTGTAGAAGAAAGTTTAAACGGGTTTTATTTTGTAGAATACTGCCTGAGAACATAATCCAGGTCTAGTCTGTCCCCATTCATTTTTACACAAGGCCCCCCCACTTATTTTTCATCTGTCACCATATATTACTACTCCAAAACACAATCTGTCAGGGCTCACCTGTCCTCAAGAAAGTTGTGCCTGAATAGGACACACAAACCTAGCTTAAAAGGCCTAGGGCACATCACTTCTAAGTTATGGGCAATTATAATGTGTGTTGTAATAATCTGCAAACTTATATGTTTTCTTCTGCAATCTGTTGGATGTAGGACTGGGGTGTAATTCTCTACCCAACGTAGCAACTTTTAGGGTTTTGTGTCGATGGTGATAAAATTACAACAACTGTCATTGTTTCTTGCTGAATGATATACAGTACAAAAGTGAATTAAAAACCTTTAAAAATATGATAATTATTAACTAAAATTCCAAATTGAAATAATTAGTGAATGGTACAACATTGTATACATATGTATAATAAACACTAAAATTTATAGAACTATTGCTGTCATTTTCAAAGTGTATTTAAAGTCATTAGTGATTTAAAGGCAGGTAAAGTGTATAGTTATTATGTTTTAACTACAGTCTATCAATCGAAAGTACCTGAAAAAATTTACAATTGGTGTAAAAAAAATTTCGTGTTTGTTCCAGGGTTTAAATTCCAGTATAAACTTTTTTTTTTCATTTGAATTTGCTGCCGAGAAAATATCAAAAAAATTTTTCCTGATTTTTAAGATTTTTTCAATCAGATAAAATAACATTAAGTTGACAAAAAAAGTTAAAATAAGAAACCCATTCAAAAATCTTACTTTTATGTTAGAGACATACCTTTGCTGAGATATGTCTTTGTTTTGCCACCAGGATTAAAGAGTCCAGGGGGATTAATGGAACAGCACATAAGACACAAAGTGTGACTACATTCTTGCACTTCTATTTCCAGTGAGGCCTGAACAGCTGATTGTGAGGGACTGAGATTTTCTTTCCCTGCCCACTCACTCTGTTCCTTCTTACTATCAGTCATTATCATGCGTCATGACTGTGGAGGGCAATGCATTTATCTATATTTGAGCCATTAGCCAAATGAGGAATAAGCATATGCCCAGATTTGAAATTAAACAAAAATATAAAGGAAAATTGTTTAAGAATATGGTATTAACTGAGCACTTTTTAAACTCACTTCTTCTTAAACCCGTGTTATATAAAAAACTATTATTTACTAAGATGCAATAATTTTCAATTAGCACACTTAGATGGATTCTATAGGAAGCTTCATTATAGCTGTAGTGCTCTAATGGTTTTATTACAGCACTAGTTGCATAGTGACTTCATTATAACACTTTTTGAAAACAAAAGAAAGCCATTTGAAACAAATGAGTAACATTACTAACTTGACTCTACACTCAAGTAAAATAATTAAAGAATTAAATAACAGCTGCCTCTCTTCATTGTTCATTCTCTCAGCCAGTCCTTGTTGCCCATATTCACCATTTGTTCTCGCTGCATGGCATCTTTGCTTGTCCTCACAGTCCATTTCCCCTCCTCAGTGCACGTTCCCATTGCCCACCCTCACTGCCTGCTATCTGTCCTCACAACATCATAGATACAAGTTTGAGTGATTCATGTTTGATAGAAGATCTTAATGAAACTAGTAATGCTTTTGCACCACAAGAAATGACCTGAATGGTGCAAAAGCAACATTCATGTCCATATCAAGCTTAGTTAACTAATCATTATAACACATATAATTTATATATGTAACAAATAAATATGGAAAAATTTTCCAAAACCTTATTATTTTATTTTCGTAATTTCTAGGTGCTCAGGTTTTCACGGCTCTTTGGACCAGGCAAGCCAAGCAGTTTGCCTCAAATATGGAGAAGTGTGAGGAAACGACGCAGACGTCGTAAACATCAGCAACCCGATCATTCTGATTCAGGGTCAGATCAGGATGTTCAACGAGAAAGAAAAGTTGGTTGGAACTTGAATGTTGCCCCTCCTCCAAGTCCGGACAAGTGTCAGTCTGACGATGAAGTAAGTCTAATACTTTCATTTTCTTTTTTACATTATCAATCACAACCTAGTGGTACCGTGTGACTAACAAGATAGATTTCTATTAATTGGATCATTAGTTTGATGTGTTGCACAATATTTTTGTCACTTCCTACCACCTCTAGGAGTGCTAGAGGTTCTTATCTCCAAAGCATGCTTTTTCCCACTGCAGAGACATGTGTTCCAAGTTTAGTTAAAATTAGTGTCTGCCCTACAGAGTTGTGCTGAAACACAAACATGCGTGCACACACATACACACCACAATAAGCACCATCTCCCCCGAGGACACATCACAGATTTTGGCTAATATATTCATGTCTAAAGCAATGTGTTCTTTGTCAGTAACATAAATAATGTATAGGGAATATGTAATATGGATATAATAATTTGATTATTTCAAAGATGTGTATTTTTGTACAAACTTTTAAAGAAAGAAAAATTTTTTTTTTTCTTTAAGACTTGGTGATAGGTTTGGCGAAATGACATACATTATGTAATAATATAATAATTTATAAAAATACTCAATAAAAATACAAAAATATCATTGTATTTAAGACAATCAATGGTATTTCATTTTTTTAAAAATGTATTTATTTATTTATTTTATTTCCATATTACGACATTTGACATGTGGTTACAAGCATCATCAGGTGTTCATAATTTCATCTGAAAGTAAAAATAACAAACTTTTAGTTTATATAATTAAATTTGATGAATGTCTTAATGAAAGAACAGCCACATAAATTTACTTTCCTTACCTCTGAACAATGAAATATTTTTTAACAGAAAATCAGCAGCAGTCTTGGAACAACAAGCAGAGTGCTCAAATGTATAAAAGATCCACATTAAGTACAAACAACTGAACCCAAATTTTCTGCTAAATACTAAATGTCTCACTGTTCTTGTTTTTCACGTACATATAGCATACAAAGAAAAGTTTTGTGTGACCTTTTCCTGGTAAAGTGTCCTTGTCAATTGGACTATTGTGTTCGTTCTTGATATCTCAACTTCTGAGTGGGGGTATTGACCCATAGTTCTGGGGCTGACTTCCATTTACAAAAATATCCTGCAATTCTACTGATAAAGTAGAAAATTGTCACGATTCAACATAGATTTCATTGTTTCCAGTTCCTTTAACATTGCATTCAAGTAGAATCAGTGTGTAGGGACCTATAATGGTCCCAGTTTTAGTGTTGTTATTACTTACATAATGTTTCGCTTTTACAGAAAAAGCTGCTGCAACCAGTTGAAGATAAAGCTCAAGGAACAAAAACTGAGCAAACTGAGAATAATGATATGGGTCCCAAAGTTGCAGACTGGCGTTTTGGACCCGCTCAAGTTTGGTATGATATGTTAGAAGTACCTGAGACTGGTGAAGGTTTTAATTATGGCTTCAAAGTCAAAGACGAGGTATTAAAATGATATTTCTTTTACTATTAGAATTACTCTTCACGTTTTACATTCTTTATCTTAAATATCTATAATTAATTGTAAAATGTTACAGCTTACAGAGGAAAATGTGGCTCATGATTTTTCAGAGGATACATACCTAATGGTTTCACAGTTGCATTGGGAAGATGAAGTTGTCTGGAATGGGGATGACATTAAACACAGGGTGTGTTATTTTTTTAATTATCATGTAGAATATTGTTAGATATAAGTTTCTAGTATGATGTGTGAAGTGATCTATGGTTTATTTAGGTAATGCAAAAGTTGAATTGCAAAACTAATGCAGCTGGATGGGTTCCAAGCAGTGATAATCGAACAGCCCAAGCTTTTAGTCAGCCTGGAAAGGGTGTGCCTCACATTGTTGGGGGCACCGTTCGCCTAGCCAGTAATCAAATTTCAAATACAAATGCGCAAACAAATAAACAAGCAAAAACACAGATGTAAGTGATTTTTTTTTCTCTGAAATTCTTTTTGTTTTGAAATTCGATTTTAACACTTAAGACTACACTTCAAACTTTACTAACTACTCAAATTGATAAAAGGAACTGTGAAAACATATTTATAATTTGTCAACTTGGAACAATGCTTAACATTACAATAAGAGAATCAAATGTGATCAGCATCGTGATTTAGCATTTATTGGCATTATTATATGCAGTATTGCAGGCTACCAAAAATATGATTACTGTTTCATTATTTCTAGGTTGTTAAATAAGCATCAGCAAAGAACTGAAGAAAACACAGACGATACATGGTATTCTATATTTCCTGTGGAGAACGAAGAATTAGTGTATGGTGCTTGGGAAGATGAAGTCATCTGGGACTCAGAGAATATGTCCCAAATCCCTAAACCAAAGATTTTAACTCTTGATCCCAATGACGAAAACATTATTTTGGGAATTCCTGATGATGTTGATCCAGCTAAGCAACGCCTTGATTCTGTTACGCCAGCTAAAGTTAAAATACCACACCCTCATGTCAAGAAATCAAAAATTCTTCTTGGAAAAGCTGGAGTTATCAATGTCATGGAAGAAGACACACCCCCTCCACCACCTAAATCACCTGACAGAGATCCATTCAATGTTTCTAATGACAGGTCAGTTTAAGCATGCTAATTGTTTGTACACAAAACCCAATATCTTATTAATTTGTTCCAACAAAACATAAAATTTGTTAGTTTCAGAAATGAATTTCAAAGTCAAATGTATTGTAATTACAACCTTACATTTACAGAGATAGTCTGTTTATATTTTGCGCTTATACGTTTGTAATGAAAGTCCCTTTAACCCTGCCAATATGGGAATTCAGTCACACTGGTACCGACGTGAAGTCCCTTGGACTCAAACAAATTTTGTTTCAAATATTATTGTTTTAATTTGTATAAAGAACATTGAAATTTACAATACGTGATGACTAAACAAAGTATTAATCAGGATGTAGTTGGTAATAAATTATCAAATGAGGAAAGATCACGTGGTCAGTAATGACTGAGTTAAATTATGCAGATCTTTAATTTAACAAATTCATAAAAAAATGTTGAACATTAGATAGAAATAGATAAATTAAAACTACTAAAAATTTAGAACTAAAAAGTAATCAAGCAAATATGTTATTACCGCAAACATAAAATTCTACTTTCCTTAGGTATCTTTCCCTGCACAAATCTCGCAAACTTTTATTTGTCCCTTCCGTGATAATATTTTGCATTCTGAGTTTTTCTTCGTGGAGTTGTTCATTCTCCAGAAATTTCTCGTCATTATTGTTTTCTTTCCCAAATAGTAAACAAGATTGACCACTTGAGTCACAGTCACTTTCAAATTGATGATCCAAAAAAACACTCACAATCAGTCCATTTGCTCCACTCATTGTATCAATATTTTCTTCAAAATCATGGTAATTAATATTCACACACTCTCTTAACAGCCAAGCCACATTTTTCTCTACATTGCACCTTCGTCAGAAGCCACAGAAATTGTACTAACTGGCAAGGTGCGAGGCGCACACTGTGAAATGTACACTACTACTGACGTGGAGTCCATAAGTCTCCTGCATGCCAGCGAAGGTTGATAATTTGCTTGAAAAGTATTCCACAACAATAAGCTCGCGAACCATTACTTAAAACTATGAGGAAAAGGTGCAAAAAGAATCAAGGTTTTAAAAAATCCTCAATACAGGTATTCGAAGTTTTGCAAAGTCGGAGGAGTCCCAGGGACTCTCAAGTCGGTAGCTGAGGGTTAAGACTGTAAAACATTATGTTATAACTGCATTTGTGTTGTAATTGCATTTGTGGCCAAATAAATAATATATTTGGTATCTTGAGATTTAGTTATAAAATATTTAGTTTACCTCTAGCTATCCCAACACATGAATACATTTTTAGGAGAGGATTCATGTAGTGGTTCACCTTGTTTTTAGAAACAGCCATCCCTGACATAGAAAGGTGTTCCTCTACAAGCTATACACCAAGAGATGTTACTTGCAGTTTATGTTAGACCACAGGAGGCATTTCATTTTACTCATACCTCACATAACTGTCTGAATTTTCCAATCCACCACCTTAAGATACACCTTGTAAGGGCTGCTCCCCAAAGGAGAACTAGACATCTACAGTTTTGTAGCATTCGTACAATCATTTGAGAATAGTCTCTGCCTTAGTCTACCCCTATTTTTTTCCTTTTAATTCCTCTCCCCTTACCTCTCTCTCCTTTTTTGTGGAACCTTTCTCTGCTCCTTTTCTTTTTCTATCTTCTCTCTTTATCTAACTGAATTGTTTGTTTCCAGGTATTACATGCCACGTTCTTCTGAATCATCTTTGAGATTGAAAGTAGGTGGAGGTAACCTCATTCAACATTCTACTCCAGTGGTGGAATTACGGGCACCTTTTGTTCAAACTCACATGGGCCCAATGCGACTTCGCAACTTCCATCGGCCTCCTCTGAGACGATTTTCTCATGGAACCTTAGCACAGCCTGGCCATCATTATGTTCTTCCGCTGTTGAAGCACATTCGCAAGAAGGCCAAGGTAATTTTTCATTTTAATATTGTTATCAAATTTCACTCTGATAACTAGAATATATTGTTCTTATTTAATGAATACAAAGAAAATATCTTGATTGTCTTAGAACTGGGTTTTTGTGGATTTTAACTAAAGATGTGAGAAAGTTTTACAAAGGTAAAGAAAGAATTCTTTTTTATAGTTCAGAACCAATTCTTAGATTAATAGTGACTACCTTTTTATGAAGAAGTAATTTCTAAAACAATTTAAATTGTTTATATTAAATGTTAAACAGAGACTATAAATAGGTCTTAAAATTTCACTCAATTGATTCACAACCACAGACTACACTACCTGTAGGCCATGTTTATTCAGTTTAGTAAAAATTATTACTGATAACTATGAGGTTTATAATACGTTCTGTTGATACATATGTTTAAAACTGCTGAAAGAGGCATTCAGATCCTTTTTATATTAACTTTATCGTATTATAGTTGTTAAGTACTTTACAGTTTTTATTACAATATTTGGAATATTGATCTTTCTCAAAAGCAAAGAGAGCAAGAGAGAGCTGCTTCAGGTGGTGGAGATGTGTTTTTTATGAGAACTGCTGAAGACCTTACCGGCCGTGATGGTGATTTGGTACTTGTGGAGTTTTGTGAGGAACATCCACCATTAATGAACCAAGTAAGAAAGCAAACTACTTTTTCTTAATCCTAGAAATAATTTAATTGTATTATATATTTACTCTTTACGCCATACAGGTTGGCATGTGTTCCAAAATTAAAAATTATTACAAGAGGAAGGCAGGAAAAGACCAAGGCCCACAAGAATATCGCTATGGAGAAGTAGCGTATGCCCACACATCTCCATTTTTAGGGACACTACCACCTGGGCAGTCGTTGCAAGCTGTTGAAAACAACATGTACAGAGCCCCCATTTATGAACACAAAATTCCTGAGACAGATTTTCTTATAATTAGAACAAGGTCTGTGAGTTAACTATAGAACTGAGTCAAACAACTTGTTCTAGCAGCTATTGAAATGCACTTTTTCTTTACAGGCAACAGTATTTTATCAGGGAAATTGATGCCTTATTTGTGGCTGGACAAGAATGTCCCCTGTATGAAGTGCCTGGTCCCAACTCTAAGAGAGCTAATAACTTTGTGCGTGATTTCCTGCAGGTAAATTATATTTATGCATTTAGCAGTAGAGGCTGGATTATTATGTAATTAGTATATTTTGTCTTCTATGGTCAGCTCTCAAAATTGTAATCTAGGCAAATCATTGCAATTGTAACACAATTTCCAAATTTTTATTATTTATTTGGATTATTTTACATATTTTGCAAAATTTTATATTCTACCAATTTCATGGAAATTTATTTTGCAAAAAATATTTAAAGAAATTTTCAAAAATAGATTTTATTTTAAAAAATCAGCACTTTTATTTTATTTTTACACAAATTCAGCAGAATTGTATGCTGACGATGTGAGATGCTCGACACAAAGACACGGTCAAATGCATGCTGTCTGTTTGATTTAACCTCTGTCTGTATGCCATAAATGTTAAAAGAAATGTGTGTGAAAACTGAGAGGCATACCTTTAGGTGGAAAGTATCAGTGACATGTTTCTTGATCTAATTCCAATTTCTGCAAAATAATGGATGTTGCAGACATGTATCACTACAATGTTGTCATTGTTTACTGATGATTGAGTTCCCACATGTGTACAATATTTATCATTATTGCTCCCAAAGATTAAACTGTATTGTTAAAAACTAGTCCAAACAAAATATTTTTTTTAATTTTAATGAATATTTAATTAATATAATTTCATATTTTTATTGTAAATTTATTTTGTTTGCTTGTAAATGTTGTATAAATTTGATATTACATATTATCTCTTTTTACACATTTGTTACATATTCTTATTGTTTTCATTACATTTGTAATGAATTATTATGTACAGTAAAACTTCATTTATATGTTTTTCAGTGGACTGAAGGGAAAGAATATGCAAATGAGAAAAACGGATAACTGAAAATGAGAAAAATCTTTATGCAAAATATAAACTCAATATTTCGACAATAATTTAGTGTTAGAAAATAGTATGCATACAATGTTCTCAGTCCATAACATTTTCAAGAAACAAAGTCACTTTTGAAAAGAGTCTGATCTTAGACCATTTGCTTTTCTCTCCACCTTAAGTATAAATTTCCTCGTGAAAATGTGAGAACTGCCCTGTAATTAATTGCCCATATTACTTGATTCCAACTTTGTATAAATAGGACAGATATTTACTGTACAATGTTGAGAAACATTACACAAAGCCATACTGAGTGTCCCGTAAACATTACGCAAAGCTGTAGGGAAACTAGTGGGAACTATCATATCCTTACACACTGTGGTTTTGTTCAGTTTCCTTAGTTCTTATGAGGTTGCAATGAAAGGCTGACAAGCCTTGGGTACCAACAGAACTAAACAACCTGAACACATACCAAAGGAGATTCCTTAGGCTCCTGTAGGATGACAAGTCATTTATTTTGTTATATAGTCAGGACTTTTATTATGGATGCATGTCTGAAAAGCAAATAAATGTAGAATGCATATCTGAAATAATTTAACGTGGGAAGTACAGGAATTTAGCTGGTTCTTATAATACATAAACATGAAAACCATCCAAGGACAAAACGTATAAATGGACATATTTTGCTATTTCATAGTACATATTTTCCAAACTCTATTTATCACGAAGTTAAATAGTTTGCTTTGTTCAGTTTTGCTTCTTTAAAACTTTTTGAAGGAAGAAAAAGATTGATATTGCCAATTTTGTAATTGCCATGCTATTGAAATAAGTGGAAAATTTTCAACATTCTCCTTGTGCTCATTTCCTCTTAAAAGTTAGTTCTCACTGTATTATGTGGTGGTATTTGTTCATAGGTATTCATTTATCGCTTATTTTGGAAAAGTCGGGATGTACCAAGGAGAATTAAAATGGATGACATTAAGAAAGCATTTCCTTCTCATTCAGAAAGCAGTATAAGAAAACGACTAAAATTGTGTGCTGATTTTAAGAGGACTGGTATGTATAGAAAAAATGCATTGCTTAAAAGATTTTGGATTGAATTGTATGAAAATTTTTATTTTATTCATAGAACCAACCCTATTTTTAGTTGTAAACAAAGAATTAATATGACTATAATAATAGTACTAATAATGCTTTATGGATGCTAATTCAACAAGATTCTTGTAATGTTTTAAACTGAATCTTAGAGTAACTCAGTGAATTAATAAGAAAAGCTAGTACAAAACATGTTATCTGTAAAATCATTTTTCACTTAATGAGTTTGATAAAACAAATCCTGAATGTGAACATTTCATCTTTCATGCTTAATGTAAGATTTCTAGAGTGAAATTCAGAAGCTCAGATTGACTCACTGTGTCATATACAAGAACAAAAAATGCATGATGTATTGTTACTCTTATATTTCATGTTATCTTACACAATATTTTGTTTCTAGAAAATGTCTTCTGTTGATCCAAAATGCAGTGGTCATAATTGTTCATAATGCTTTTAGGAATGGATTCAAATTGGTGGGTAATTAAACCAGATTTTCGTTTACCTACTGAAGAGGAAATTCGAGCCATGGTATCACCTGAACAATGTTGTGCATATTTTAGTATGATTGCTGCAGAGCAAAGATTAAAGGTACTTGTTTATTAGTTTATTTTTCTCATCATAATGTGGATTTGGATTTTTGATTTGATTTTGAACTTATTATCTTAACTAATTTAATTTTCAGGATGCCGGTTATGGAGAAAAATTTTTGTTTGCTCCTCAAGAAGATGATGATGAGGAAATGCAACTCAAAATGGACGATGAAGTAAAAGTAGCTCCTTGGAATACTACTCGAGCTTACATACAAGCTATTAAGGGTAAATGTCTGCTACAACTAACTGGTCCTGCAGATCCAACAGGATGTGGTGAAGGATTCTCCTATGTTCGAGTACCCAATAAGCCAACAGTGAGTCTTTATGTTTGGAAAATTGGCCATTTTAACATTTAGTGTATGTTATTATTAATAAATTCCCTTTTACCTTGTAGCAAAGCAAAGAAGAACAAGAAGCACAACCAAAGAGAACTGTTACAGGAACTGATGCAGATTTACGTAGATTATCACTCAACAATGCTAAAGCTCTTTTGAGGAAATTTGGTGTCCCTGAAGAAGAGGTATTACCATCATTTTTCATTATAATTGGTTGCTTTGAAGGTGAATTTAAAAGTGTCAGGATTAACATGCCAGAAAAGGAGTTAGACCCTATTTTAGCTCCTTCAAAGTAGATGTAACTGCTAACACAACTGGTAACAAATTGGCAACATAAATTAATTAATTGAGGAAAATTGTTTCCTATAAAAACAGTCAATAACTGTAGTAGATAAGCAGAAAATATTAGTATAAGAGAGCTCCTTATGAAGGTAAGAAATAGAAGTAAATGACTTTGTGTAATTCTATATAGGAGAAACATCCCACTAAATGTGCTAACTAATGTCCTTGAGTCTTACCATCACCTTTCAGTTATCTAATTTTTGTTGGTCTGATTTGAACTTTAATTGAACAGTCCAGGCTTAATCTAAAATTAAAAATATTCTACTCATTGACTACAAATTTATTAGAAACTTAGAATTCAGTTTAGAACTTGTTTACAATGAAAAGCCCTTGTTCAAAGAATGCTTCTCGTTTGCTCTGAATTTCTCATAGTAATGAAGTACTACTTTACATATTTCAGATAAAAAAATTATCTCGTTGGGAAGTTATTGATGTTGTTCGCACCCTGTCAACGGAGAAAGCCAAAGCAGGAGAAGAAGGAATGACAAAATTTTCACGTGGCAACCGATTTTCTATTGCAGAACATCAGGAAAGGTATCGGTTCATATGCATACTTTAGTATAAGCATACTCAGTAATTACAATTGGATTGGGCATTTTAATTTTAAAGGTAGTGAAGCAGTACTTTAAAATCGTTATCTGTTTCTGGTTTTAGGTATAAAGAAGAATGCCAGAGGATATTTGATTTACAGAATCGTGTATTGTCATCAAATGAAGTTCTTTCTACGGATGAGGCTGAGAGTTCTGATGATGATAGCTCAGATATTGAAGAAATGGGGAAAAATATTGAAAATATGCTTTCAAATAAGAAAACAAGTACTCAGGTACATTTTCATTGAAAAATTATTCTTCAGAAATTACTCTACAATACACTATTTCTTTTATTTCATTACTTTTTACTATTATTTACTACTATTTACAAATTACTCTACAAAATATTATTTCTTTTATTTCATCAAATTATTATTATTATTATTATTATTATTATTATTATTATTATTATTATTATTATTATTATATCTATTATTATTCTAATTTTCATAATTTTGACATTTTCGGGGAGATATGCTTACTTGTTATCTTTTTAATCTCCCAGTTATCAATGGAAAAAGAAGAACAGGAACGCCAAGAGTTAAGAAAAATGTTAATGGGTGAAAGTGCTGAGCAAGATCAACGTAAAAACAAAGATAAGAAAAAAGATGAGGAGGATAATCAGTCTTACACTGGCTATGGTGCTCAACCAGGTTAGCTTTTTCTGTTTTATTTTGATGATTATATACATGAAGTTTGCACAATCTGTCAATAAATGTTCTGTTCTAGGGAAAGTTTTGAAAATCTATCGAACATTTAGAAATGCCGAAGGTAAAGAATACACAAGAGTGGAGATAGTACGAAAGCCTGCAGTTATTGAAGCTTATATGAAAATTCGAACCACCAAGGATGAAACATTTATTCGACAATTTGCTACTCTTGATGAACATCAGAAAGAAGAAATGAAACGCGAGAAACGCCGCATACAAGAACAACTTCGAAGGATCAAAAGAAATCAAGAAAGAGAAAGAATGATGGGAGTGAGAACAAGCATGCTTCCAAGTCATGGAATGGATGCGAATAGTAACCCTGCTTCGAACAGCAGCATTTCTGGATCTGTGACGACAACTCCACAAAATACTACCCCTCCACCGCCCCAGATGACCCAAATGCCACAGATATCTACACCCAAACGAAAAAAACCTAAGCTGAAGCCAGATCTGAAACTGAAGTGTGGTGCTTGTGGCAATGTAAGTTACAGCATTGTAGAGTTGGATCAATTTTGCCCAGTTTCAAAAAACTTTACCCATTTTTTAACTGATTTAAAAAAACTTGAAAAGAACATAGAAGAAACATTGAAATGTTTTAATGATTTTTTAGATTATTTCAAATAAAACATTTTATGTATCAAATGTTTATTAAATATTCAAATTTTATCACAACAGATGCATACAAACAAGTACAGAAACAAAACAAACTATACTGACAATAAAATACAAACTTCATTTGCTACTATTAACAACTCCAATTACAGGACAACAAACCTGTACCACCAAAACCAACTGAGTTAACTCAGAGCCATCATTACCACTATTTCTGAGCAGCAACTAACCGGGAAGTCCTAGGTTTGCATTTTGAGAGTGGCGGATGTTCAACTCTCACAGCAATCAGCTGCACTGATAGATAGTTGTTCATGATTTCTCCAATCACAATCAAACATATTCCAAAGAAGTGCTCGAATAAGCAGGCCATGGCAATCTTTCCTCTCTCATCCTTGTCCCCTATTTTCCCCATATGCACACACCTACACTGACGTGTACTAGTCTTCTATTCAAATGAATGCAGCTAGTGGGAACTTACAGCTCAACCTGACTGGGGCAGTGCCCTGCTAGACATGCGCAGGGAAATCCCCCACCAACGTGTAGGTCAGCACCAGATCTCACCATCCAGCAGGGGAAAAACATGTTTCCTCCAGGGATAAAACATACATGACTAATGACTAGCAGTTGATATACCTGAAAACATCAATCACACAAACAAATAGAAGGACAACACAAATGCAAAGTTAACTTAGGAAAATGCAAACCTGTTTTGCAATTTTGGTGCATGTCCACATATTTTACTTTATTACTCAAACATAACATTACCAATTTTTTTGTTGCCGATAATGATTATGATTCCCAAATGCACTATCCAGAATCATTTCATTCGCATTGTTTATGTCCACTATGCATTTTAGTCCAGAAACATGAGATGTCCATGCAAATTTCGTCCACTTATAAGAATGGTCCATGGAGCATTGACTTCCATCACATCAAAATGTCCACTAACATTGTGTCCATTTTATACATTTTTAGTCCACAATAATAATAGTCAGTTGTTAAAGAAATACATATTTTATTGAGTTACAATATTATACAATTAAATATTTGATACTTCATCGCTCTTTTCAATATTATACAATTTTATTCTGTAGCTTATGCCAAGCAAATATAAATCTATATTACTATTTTCGGCATATTCTTGATATTGATCTTCAATATTTTCAATTTGACATTGATTTTTTCTTTAGGTCGGCCATATGAGAACAAATAAAGCATGTCCATTGTACCAACCTTCAGCTCCTGCACCACCAGTTAATGTAGCAATGACAGAAGAACAAGAAGAGGAAATAGAAAAACAATTGAATGCAGATGATGAAGATTTAGTCAACGTGGATGGGACAAAAGTAAAACTTTCAGGAAAACTTCTCAAGGTATGTTAATATTCCTGTTGTTTTTTTTTCCTTATGTTAATATGTCATTACTTTCTGTAAGAGCTATATAGTTGGCATTCTGAGCATTTTGTCACATTATACATCATAATGTATAATTCAATTTATGAAATATGAGTCATTTCATGCCAAATCAAACACTGTGTTAACCTTAGGTGTTCGAAATTGAATAAAACTTCTGGAATGTGTTCGGAGGGTAACTAAAAGAGGCTTAAATGTTTGTTCATTATTTTGGAAATTATGCCACATGAAATTTTCCAAAAAACCATGTGCACCAACAAATAAAAACTCTTATTTCTCCTGCCACATTAATCGTACAGAACTGAAGTTTATGTCAAATAAAAGCCCAAACACATTTATTTAAGACTATTTATAGTTGGTTTTAATTGTTAAATATCAATAATTTGTTAAATGTCAATTAATTTTTAAAATTTCAATTTACAAATTTCCCAAAAATTAAATTTAATTTTAAAAATAATAATAATAATATATTCTCTGTTTAACAAACTTCAAATGTGCAAAATTTCAAATTGAGATATTTATAAATAATGTAATTAAAACTATTAATTGAATGTGTGCGCTGCCACATAGTGTACTGCAGGAATTTTTCAATATTAGTACTATTTCAAACAGTGGAGATCGGAATGAAACGTGGAGTCTGCATAATCTTAAAATATTTTTAAATGTCTGGGTACGACAACAGGTTATTTTTAAACCTGTCGCTTTAGAGAAATGTTTTTTCATTTGTTATTGGTAACTGGCTATGAAAATCGAAGCCCTCATTCTGTTATCGGCAGAACCAGCATGGGCAATTCATTTGGTTCTACCAGACGTAAACAAAGGGGCCCTTCTTTGAAATCCAGATGAGTGCTCTCGTGAAGGTTTCTTCCGGTATTTGTTTAACTCTTTGTGAGTTCGATCCCACTACACCCACGTCAAGACAAGACATATTCTGTGCTGTCTGGCAGATCCAATTTTATTTATTATAGTGGGCTGTGTCTATGTGCAGCAAGTGTAAACTGTGTTTACTGCAGGTTTTACATAATTTGTGTTAGACTGTTATCACAATGAGTAATATAAAACACTCAAGACATGACTTTAATTTTGATACATTCAATCTCAAAAATCATTGTGATAAAAATAAGAAGAAAAACTGTAGGCGTGTGACGTCCTATTCCATCGTCATTCAAAATTCAGTCCAAGGGTCTAAAGCATGGTACAAATGCAGTTCACCTCTTCCAGAAACATTTGATTGAATTCCTAAAAGTTGAAGTAGGTAATGTCAAAAAAGTAATATATTTTTCAGATGGAGCAAGTGCACAATGTAAAAACTAAAAAAGGTTTGTTATTTTATGTTTTCACAAAAAAAAAAAAAAAAAAAAAAAAAAAAAAAAAAAAAGATTTGAATTCTGAATGGCATATTTTAGCTACTTCTCATGGGGAAGGGCCTTGTAAAGGAATTGGCAACACCACCAAAAGATTAGCTACACAAGAAAATATGCAACCATTTCATGATCCAATTACTATATCACAGAAATTATTTGAGTGGGCAATAAAATATAAGTGGTATTCCCTTTTTATTGTTTTTGACAATTGATGAACAGAAAAAAGAATGTGACTTATGGAAATCCCGGTATGAAAAAGTGAAACTAGTTACACTTTTGTGGATCTATAATCCAAAAATACACTTTTGTGGATCTATTATTTTATTAACTTTTTAAAATGTATATTAATGAATGAATACTTCTACAATTTCAACTATTCATTCCTAACATTCACATTTTAATGATAAATAGTCTGAGTGCATTTGACTTTCTACGGCGCGAACCTGGATGCCACTGTCCTCCACTTGCCAGATGTTCGATTGGGAAAGTTAATTTATTGCAACTGTATTTATGTATCTCCCATTCTGAAATTATGCACAATCATAAAATAAAAGGTAGGAAATTTAGTACTATTTTTATAATTTAAAAAAATGTTTGTGACAAAAACAATTAAAATTAAATTTAAAAAGCTACGAAAAATAAACAAATCTAATTTTTGTACAAATTTAATAAAAAAATGGTGTTATAATCTATAAAATGAAGCTAGTTTGAATTCTTTAGTTTTTTTAATAAAGGAGATATGAGAATTTATGTATGATACATTGCATGCTTGTTTGTAATTTTTCATTGCAAATTTCTCTGAAGAAAAGAACACGTGAGAGTTGTTTTTGCTGTTAGAATGGTTACACAAAGTTTTAAAAAAATCAAAAACATCAAGGTCAATTTTTCATCGAATTCATTCGATTTGACATGGAATGACTCGTATGCTTCTGTATGTGTGAAGTAATGTAAGTGTTTTGTAAATAAAGTCTCTGTCCAGAATAAAAGAACTGATGTTCTCCATTCAGGACACAAGTTCATCTTCAATTTTAAAACCCTTGGAACATGTAATTCAGTAATTTTCCTATTGCAGCATGCTGAAGAAATGAAACGGCGCACATTACTACTTAAAGTACCCAAGGAAGCAGTACATGCTCGAAAGCGGCGGCGTGCAGTTAATGAGATGCACTGTGACTATTTGAAAAGGCAACAGCGTCCAGCCAATAGGCGGCGTACAGATCCTGTTGTTGTCCTCTCTACGATTTTAGAAAGTATCCTCAATGAAATGAGAGATATGCCTGATGTGCAACCATTTCTTTTCCCTGTCAATGCAAAGGTCTGACATTATCTTATGAAATGACTATGTATTTGCTTCAACATATTTTATTTTAAATACTGAATTAATTTTTTTTCATTCCTTGTTTCTCATTCAGGTTGTTCCTGATTATTATAAAATTGTTACTAGACCAATGGATTTGCAAACTATCCGTGAAAATTTACGACAAAAGAAATACCAAAGTAGGGAGGAGTTTTTGGCTGATGTTAACCAAATTGTCGAGAATTCAACTCTTTACAATGGTAATTATCTTACACAATTCTACAATTCAAATTAACAAACAGGTTTCACATGTGTATTTACCTTGTAAACAATATCTTTATGATTCAATGGAGCATTGAAAGAATTTGAACCTGATGTTTTTTGTTTGTTTTTTCTTATCGTTCTCAAAACTGTAATCTTGGCAAATCGTCGCTGTTCTAATACAATATCCATTTTTTCATTACATATTTAGCGTTATATTACATATTTTGCTATTGTCACAAAATCTTTTTTTATCAATTTTCTTCTGTTATACATATTATTTTACAAAAAGAAGTATTTTTTAAAAAAATGAATTTTTTTTTTGTATGTTATTACTGAGTGCTGTCAAATCAAGATGCGTTACAGAATAAGTTATCTCAGTGGTGGAAGTGCGAGTCAGCAACAGATCATTTTCACCTTTGGGCATGAAAAGTATTACTGATGCTGGGTTCGTGATCTTTAACCTTAATTTCTGAGAAATTAAGGTGATCTCTGACATGTAACATAGCGTATTCGGACGCTGCATGCTGCAGTAATTGTTTGCTGGTCATAAATATCGCTGATTTGTACGAGAGGTTCTTGTGTGTCTAGTCTGACTGCTAAACTACCGTCCTAGCAATAGAACCTTTTATTACTGTCGGGAAAGTTGTATGGTGCTCAATGTGCATCAACTTGTACTCTCCTAATGATTTTGAAAACGTAGTGTATTTTAATATTACATATTATATCTTATTTTACATATTTACTACATCACTGTTGTCATTACTCATTTATGTACATATTTTGATGTTTCATACTACATAATTTTAGGGTCTTTTGCAATTATTGCATTCTAAAACTTGTGTGCACTCGTGCAACTAGGGTTCTGTGATATTATAATTTCATTTCTCAATGTTTTAAGTCTTTCATATTTATTCAGTCTTTCATGATGAGCGTAAAAAGACAAATCCAAAGATGTACATATTGTCTTATGTTAGATAAGTATTCTTTTGAGTATTTTGATTTTTTGCACCTAGTGTTTAACAGATATTTTGAATGTAACAGTCCACTATACAAGGTTACACAGCGCTTCCCCGCTCTCTCTGCTAGTGCGCGCTCAGAGAAGGGAAGGGATATTAGTATTTGAAGGTACAAAACATATTCCAAATATTCACAAAACTTGCAGGGTTTTTTTTCCTGAATTTTGCTTTCCATCCTTCTGCATTTACATATTTTTTTTAATTACTTAAGGATTGAAAATGTGGATTTTTCATTTGCCACTTTCTTCCGACATGTCAGAAGACAGTACTAACGAAAGATACAAATAGGCAGTAACAATCAACGATAACAATTATAACAAATGATAACAAAACAGCAATAATAAACAAAGATCACAAGGAATGTTCAAAAGAATTATAACAATAACGTATCTAACAACACCGCTACTCAGAAATTCTGCCCACCTACGCCCTTTAAAACACAATAACATTACATTCGACCCTAGACTTAGCTGAGCTGGTTAACCACAACATTCAAGGCACACAATTCATTTAACCGTAATTTTATATAACAGTGTACAAATAAAGTTTCTGATTCACTGTTATGGCGCTGGTGTCATCATGTGACCACAAAATGCCAACTATATTCTAATTTTATTCTGACTAGTCATTATATTTTTTCAGAGTGCTTCAAACTTCAGTTTCTGGGCACAAGGAACAATAACAAAATGCCTAATTTCTCATAGTTTTGTTTCTGTTGCCATCCTTGCACGGTTCTATTTCTTCTAAAATCCTGCAATCCAAAACACCCCCTTCTAAAGCACCGCTTCCGATCGCTGCATCCGGTTACGAAATCATAAAAATATATTTTTTTGGAGAAATTGTTTGTTCTGCACTCATGCTTCCCTAAAACTTGGTATTCAAAAGTTAAGCATCAAAATTATCTCCCATGTAAATATCCGCACACATGTTCTTGAGCTGTCAATTCACTAGATGCGAGAGAAGTCAGGTAAAACAAGCATAAGAAATTTGTTCTCTAACATCAAATTTCATCTATAAAACATAACTGCATATTTAAATGACTCATTTACCGACAACATTTTCACTGCATAATATATTTTCTTTTCTGTCTGGATTTTTTTTCCTTTCTTTCTCCAGCACAAAATAATTATTTTATAAGCTAATTATATGTAGGTTGTTAACTTTCTACTTATGTGATTGTAGGTGCCAAGAGTTCTCTCACTGTTGCTGCAAAACGCATGTTGAGTCTGTGTGTGGAACGCCTTGGTGAAAAAGAGGAACGACTAATGCGCCTGGAAAAAGCAATTAATCCTTTACTAGATGATGATGATCAAGTTGCTCTCACTTTCATTTTGGACAATGTAGTTAACAATAAATTGAAAGGAATGTCAGAATCATGGCCTTTCCTCAAACCAGTCAATAAGAAAAATGTAAAAGATTACTACAACATTGTTAAAGAGCCAATGGACTTGGAAACAGTGGCTAAGAAAGTTGCTGGTATGTTTTGTTCATAATTTGTAATATTATCTTATATTTCATATTATTAGTATTAGACATTTCATGTAAACAATACAGGCACATGTGAACCTACACCCTTAAATTGTGTAAGTGAATTTGTGTACATTACGAAGTGATTCTGATTCAAAATGAACCTGATTTTTTGTTATTAAATGTTTACAAACATAGTAATTTGTGAGTGCTCTTGGCTGTCCAGGTGTCGCCACATCGAAGGCTGTAATGCCAATTGAATTTGAACACATCACAGCCTTTGACACGGCGTCACCCAGAGAGCCACAAGACTCTTCCTCCGGAAGTCTACGACTTCACATAGTTGTAAATTTTTTTATTAAATTTTTTATGGGCCTGAAACTTAAATGAACTTCAAAATGCTAAGTAAATCTTGTGTTGACTTTTAAAACCAGACATTTTCTTAGCATTCACAAATCATTTTCAATAACTTCTGTGATTAACGTAATGATAACTACTATTTTTGCTAAGTAAAAGTTCCTGCTAAATGCTTATAATTAAAATTAAGTGGCTGCATGTCTGTAATCTGTAAGATTTAAACATACTTGAGAACTGACCTTTGAATATTTTATATTTTTCATCATCATTAGCCCCAACCCCATGTTAGTAATTTGCCTAGTATATCTTATAATCATGTTTCAGAACAGATTTTTAAATTTGTATGTTCTTTGAAATTGTTATTAACTAATAAATTTCTTTTGTAGCTCACAAGTACCATAATCGAGATGAATTCTTAGCAGACATTGAACGAATTCTGCAAAATTGCATTTTGTATAATGGAAAAGATTCAACCTACACTCACAAAGCAGAAGCGTTAGTGAGGGTGTGTCGTGCAACATTAGAGGAATATAGAGACCAGTTAACACAGTTGGAGAAAAATATCAGTTTAGTTCAGGAACGTGCCCTTGAACAAGCTGAAGTGGACTCTCTTGGGACATGGGGCGGAGGTGAAGAGGAGAATTACACAATTGCAGAGCCGGACCTTAGAGAGGTACAGTATAAAGTGTTAATTTAATTTTTTAAGTATCAATAATATGAATTTATAAAAATTAAAAACTATGTGTTTGCGCCTGTTTAGTAATTTGAAATTTACAAATCCCTATTTTTTCAATTATATTTCTTGTGAGTCATAAAGAAATGCAATTCAATCCAAAGTAATATTGCTTGACTTTTCCCATTACTTCAGAGCATATGATAATTACAAAATAATGTTATTTAAATTGTGAATTACATAATTATTTAAACTATGTTACAAAAAACATGAAAAAGAAATAGGGAAGTAATCTTTAATAGAATAATATGTGTTTGATTAAAATGTGATCGATTGAGGAGTCAGTGAACAATATGGCAAATTGGGTAAAGATTAAAAATTAAAATCTTCTCACACGTTCCATTACTCGGTTCATTGCCCATTTTATTGTTTTCTTTTATTCTTCTTCTTTTTTTCCCCTTAATATTAATATAATATATTGTATGTAAACTTCCAGGTACCCAGGTATTATTTGAAACTCTTGAGAACAGATAATCGTATGCCACTTCAGGCAGAAATTTAATTTTAAGATATAACGTGTCTACAATATAACTATAACTGTGAGGAATCTACATCAACCTTGATTATATTACCCTACCATTTAAATCTGTGATTTTAAATGAAAAAATGAGTCCTCCTTTTTCAAAAAAAGTTGAGATATACATTTTCTTTGTTATTCTTCAAGCTCTATGGATCAGTGTGAAAATGAAACTTGTCCAGCTTAAAGTATGTGTTCAGTTGCCAACTAAAATTTCTAATGTCTGGAAAAGAGAAAGAAGTCCAGGACTAGTTTCTGATCCTCACACAGAAGAACTAATATTATCATCTAGGAAACACCTAAATGCTTCATTACAACAGTAGTAGACACAGAGGACAGCATAGACTTCAAAACCTGATGGTCTAACTATTTTGGGAAGACAGCCAAGTCTCCTGGTCCTGGCAGACTTCTTTTTGAGCCTGGTGTGATGCAATTTGCTAACTGCAAAGTAAAGCAGTTGATGTATAATAGAGAATATTTTGGTTCCCTTGTGGCACTTGAGTACATATTGATGGGTTTATCAAGTACTCATTCATGTTGGGAAAAGGCAAGGTATATCTGGGCTAGAAAGTTTGTCTCAGCTGTTCTTCTGATCAACAGAGAGAAAATAATCGATGTCCAAAAAATAGTAAAATACATCCCACGTGAATATCTCCATTTCTACCAGAAAGTTTTGACATAGCTACAGAATCAAGTGAAAATCGATTGTGTGGATGTAGATGCTATTATTATGAATTTAGTAAGAGTATTTTTCATGTTATACCACAATATGCTAATTCACATCATTATATATTTATTCAATGATTATATTGTTGCATAAGTTCAAAAATAAAGGAAAAAAAATTGTTTTTTGAAATATCTCATAATTAATTTATATAAGAAAAAGTCTCAAGATATGACACCAGTTCTGGACATCACAGAAATGCAAACATGAAGTTACAGAGTAGACCAAGCTATCTCCAACAACTGTTTTTACAACTTTTGTGTAGAACATAAAGTGTCCCAGATGTCAACTGTGGATGTTATGAAGCTTTATATGTTTTTCTTAGAACTATGGAACAAGGACTTATTTCCCTTTTCAAATCATAGATTCATTACTTGTCAAAATTTAATACACACACAACTGGAAGGCTGAGGGCTGTGTAGATGGTAATATCTCAATTTTTGCCAAAATATGGCCTCTGCTCTTCGATCTGATGACCCTGATCTCAAGCCCTTCAATTTAATTTTAAAAAAATATCAATTCAGTACTACACGATTCATAGAGAAAATGTAAATTTAATTAAAATTAACAATTTATGAAAGGGTCTATGACTTTCAGTGGTTTGAATGCTATAACATTAGCATTAATCAGGGTTTTTTTATTTTATTTTTTATATTATATATTATTTAGTTCAGACTCAAATTATTGCAATTAATTTCATTTCTTTTTCTCCTTCCAGTTCGTTGATGTGGAAGGTGATATGGAGTCTGCAGGCATGCGGAAGATAAAGAAGGATGTTCTCGAAGAAGGTGAGAATTGTTGGAGTCCTCTATGTAGATCTTACAATTCTTTAATATATTTGTAGACATTGTTGAATTTCCTTCAACTGTTATCAGAAATTAATTATAAAATTACTATTCAGCTAGTTAAAACGATAGTAAGTCATTGCACAAAAATGAAAGAGAGTTTGAAGCATTTTAACCCACTAATAATAAAGTGAATCAACACTTTTACAGAAATGGGCCTCCCAAGCACAATGAAATTTCCTATGAGATTTTTTGTTTCTAATTTCTGAGTGAAATATACAATTTAGTAATCAGGCATCTGAACTAAATATATTTCTTTCTTCACGGGATATTCCCTTTGATACAGTAATCAAAATAACAAAATTACAAAAGTTTGACAATTTAAAAAATAATTTTATTTAAAATTTGCTAAAAATATGAAAAAGAAATATTGACGTAATCTATAACAGTACAATATGTGTTTGCTATAGTCATTAAGCATCATTTTCAAGTCATGTCCTTTGCTTTGGACTCATTGATAATGTTTCCTATTCTTCTAAAATCATTCATGGGTGATAACCAGAACAGTATAAGTGACATTTTATAAATTCTGAGAAAAATGTGTTTATTTTAGACTGTATTTCAGTGGCAATGCATTTTCGTGGTTTTAATGAGCAACTGAAATGTAATAGTTTTAATATGAAACAAAACACCACGACTTTACTGTGATATTGACTTTTATAATAATAATAATAATAATAATAATAATAATAATAATAATAATAATAATAATAATAATAATAATAATAATAATAAATGATCAATCAATTATGGTAACAACTACATATAATTTAACAATATTAGTACATTCTGTTTAAATCTTGAAATAGTGAGGAATAGGAGGCATGTTTTGACCAGGTTTTTTCTATTTATACACATAGTTGTTATTATTATTATTATTATTATTATTATTATTATTATTATTATTATTATTATTATCATTATTGGGAACAAAATCATAGGAGGATGAGGAGCAAATTCAATTGTCTTCTGTTGGTGCCATTCTCTGTTAAACCTGACTGATGAAATACGAGAAGCTATGTAAGAAATACAAGATACATGTCGAGGACACAAAAACAAGGTTGTAGCTTATGTTTCTCCACATAACCAGTCAGATGCCAATTTTAAAACATATTAATTACTAATGTTTAGTAGGCCTAAGTTGTCATACAAATGTGAGGTGTAACACAGACCTATGTGTGCTAGAAACAGCCAAGAAACATTAAAATCATCACCTGAAAAATTGGATTCAGTTGGTGAAAAATGACAAGCATTAAAAGTCCTGTGATTGCTATAAAAAGATATATTTTTATTTTAGCTTATTAAGGCAAATAAATTGACCATATTTAATTAAAAGGAAGGAAAATAATGGCATAAATTTGCATGGAATTAAATGCAATGGCTGTCAACTGGAAGGTGGTAAATTTCTTTTAAACATCTGTTAAATGAATCAGACAGTAAATTTAAAAAAATTATTTCACTCATTGGGAACATTCCAGAATAAAACCTTTACAGCCCTTTACAAAATTTCTCAAATGATTGACTACCAATATCAATTGAAAATAAGAAATATATAATTCCTTTGTTGACAATGATCTATGACTATTTACATTGTTTTAATCTTAATTTAATAACTAGGATAAACTTCATACAGGCCCTGTTCTAGAGATGTGGTTCAAGTTTATGAAAATGAAAAGTAGCTAATGAATCAGTTATTTTCCAATAAATGCAATTGCACGAAAACTAATGGTGCTACACTTCTTGCATTATTTATAACTGTTACGCAATATAGTAATACTACACGAAGTGGCAAAAGTGTTTCCAACCAACAAACATGTTTTTACACGATGGGATTCAGACACAGGTTCTTACTCAGCATGCCATTCAATTTACCATTATACCACCAGGCTGACAGCAAAACTCAATTTTCCTGACACTGTAAAAAAAGTTGAACAATTGCATTTGTAATTTTCAATAATTCAGAGATTTTCTGTAAAGTTATTTCAAGATTTAGTGTTTATAAAATAAAGAGGGGGAAATCTTATCATCTACTGTAGTGTTGTATTGTATTTGTATTGTTTTTTATTGTACATGTTCAATTTTCTAAAATACAGAGTTTGCACTTTCTGAATAATTACCATTGTCTGCATTTATTTAGATTTGCAGTTCTCAAGTGAAGAAGAAATTGAAGATATGCCTCTGTCTGATGGAGAACCAATGCCTGATGATGATAGCCAACAAGCAGCAGAGGCTATGGTGCAACTTGGGAATATGAGCTACTTACCTCAAACTTCAGAAGTACCTCAGGAACATGGACAAGAACATGGTAATGCTGTTATGAAGACTATACTCTTCATAGTCTGTGAAATATACTTTATTTTTACTATACTTTATTTTCTGTTTATAAATATTTTGTATTAATGATCTAGCTGAAGTACTTTCTTCTGTCACTCTCCCTATTAGTTTCTCTAAACCTCTCCTGTCCTCTTCAAGAAGCGTAGTATCATCTGCATATCGAATATTGTTGATTCGGCGTCCTCCACTTCTTACTCCAACATTCATTTCATCCAATTTCGTTCTTCTTGTGATAATTTCTGTGTACAAATTGAACAATCCGGGGAAGAGAATGCATCCTTCTCTAACTCCCTTGCTAACTTTAAACCACTCAGTAGTTTCTTCTGCTAATTGTGCCCTCGCTTCTTGTTCTGTACATATTTGTCTTAGTAGAATTATTATTTGTCCTGGTATACCCATGTTTGTTATAGTGATCCATAACAGATGTCCACACAGTCAAATGCTTTAGAATAGTCCAAAAATTATAAATATGGTTTCTTTTTGGAATTCTCTGCTCCCTTCCATTTTCCATCTTAGGTTTGCTTTCTGATCCCTGGTTCCCCTGCCCTTTCTGAACCTGGCTTGTTGTATTGACAGTTCTCTTTCTATAAAAGTATCTAGCCTTTTATTTACTATTTTCAGCATGATCTTGCTTACATCACAGTGCTATTGTTCTATTATTAGCACATTCCCGAGTGCCTCCTTTCTTTGGTAAGGAAATGGAAAATCATCCACTGGCCATTCTTTTTTTTTCCATATCAGGTTGCAAAGATCTAATATCCTTCCTGTAATTGCATCACCTGCACTTTATATCATTTCAATGGGTATGTTATCTGGTCCAGAAGATTAACCATTCTTTATTTGTTTAAGGGCCCATATGCCTTCGTCTTTTAGTATCATTCGTTCTTCTTCATAACGCCTTGTAATGAAATGTTTGTCAATGCTTGACTCCCTTTCGTACAGCTATTGTGTATATTCCTGCCATCTTTTAGTTATGTCTTGCTTTGAAGTTAGAATAATGCCATTGCTGTCGTTAACCGCTCCTACTCTTGGTTTGAATTCTTGTGTGATGTCTCTTATAATCTGGAACATTTCTTTTGGACTAGACTTTGTGTTGTATGTTTCAGTTTCCTTACATATATCATTTATGAATTTTGCATTGCCTTTCCTTGCTTTGTATTGAAATTTTCTGTTAAGCACATGTACTTTCTCCCAATCCCCCACTTGCTTTGCTTTCCTTCTCTCTTCCTCCATTTTAATGGCTTCTTCAGATAGCCAGCTTGATTTGTTCCGCTTTTGTGTCTTTTGCATGTGCTTATGCATGTGTCTCTTAGAGGATTACTTCTTTACTCCTTAACTGTTTGTGGGTCCTCTTGTACACTGCTAGTTCTGATCACCCTCGTTGAGATGGCTTGCTTATATGTATTTGGAATGTTTTGGACACCATACCCGACTTTAGTTCCTTCGCCCTTCTTTGTTACCTTCAGTTTAATCTTTATTTTTGCTACTAACAGTTCATGATCTGTTCCACAGTCCTCATCAGGTATTGTGGTGACATCCCGTCTAGAAGACCTCCATCTACATTTTCCCAAGATAAAACCAATTTGATTCTTATATCTGCCATCTGAGGATGTCCATGTGTATAAATGTTTCTCTTGCTTCTTGAACATTGTGTTTGCTATAAACAAGCTGTTGCATGCACAGAAATCTGTTAAGCTCTTCCCCCTTTGTTTCTTCTTCCCCCGAACCAAATTTCTCTGTAATATATTTTGTTTCCTTCTGCCCCACTTTGGCGTTCCGATCACCCAAAATGAGAATAAAATTGTTTCTTGGTGTTTTGTCATAAGTTTCCTGTACATTATCATAGAATATTTCTAGTTCATCACAAGAGTGGGTGCAAGGTTCAAGTAGGAGGGTAACTTTTTATCCATGTTCATTTTTAACATAGCTTCAGAAACAATATGTTAAAGCTTTGCAGAAGACAACTATTACATTTATGTGTTGTGTAAAAATGTTTGCTAGTTCAAATTTATGGCACCCTCACTTCATGAAGCCTCAAGTCACTGCTGGTTTTGCATAGCAATAGTTACAAATAGCATGAGAAAATCTCTTGTTTTTAACACCTTTTGCTATTTATATAGATTTATTAAAGCAACTGTGAATGGATTGAAATTATTCCATGCATTCTCTTTTTCAAGTTTCTAAGTTGTTATTTTATTATTATTGTTATTATTATTGTTATTATTATTGTTATTATTATTATTATTATTATTGATGTTATTTTAATGAGAAGTAGACATTACTAAAAAAAATTAATGTTTGTTGTTACAGAAGAAAGCATGGATGTAGATCCCAATTATGACCCTTCTGACTTCCTTATTCATGACCTGCCACAACAAAGGGCAGAAAATCTTGTACAAATCAAAACTGAAAAGATTACAGATGATTTGGAAGTAAGTGAATCAGAGGATGAGAATGTGAATACTGGTGGAGCTCCTCCAAGTTCTGTTCCTCCTCTTGAACCAAAGACTGAAGTGGAAGATGATGACGTTACAGGTGATCTCTGGTTCTAGGCATGCAAGATAAGTAAATTTATGAAGTTCCTGAAGATATGCAAGATTCGAATCGATGCTTACAATGGTAATAATTATGTTCAATTGTGTGTTATTATTTATCAGTGTATTATAGGAATAAAAATTACTGTAAATATGAATATATTTATATAAAAATTAAAGTGATTTTATTTATGACATTTTTTATATAATATATATAAAAAATATTGTCATTGACATGATACAATAAAAAGAACATTGAATTGGTACAAGTTTCTTTTTGACTGGAACTATCCCAATAAACTACTAGTGGTTCAACAACAGCCCATACTTGTTCACATTATTTCTAGACTTGCAATTTTTGAAAATTCAGAGAGGTCAACAAAATTGAGACTTGCACCAATCTTTTAAGCATCCCTTATACTATCCATGAAAAAATATTGAGAGTGGTTTTTGAGAAAATGTTTTCTTCATAATGTGCATTAAGCATAAATTGAGTGAAAACTACTCATTTTTTGCAAAAAGTTGTACATGACCTTTAAAGAACGGATATTTTAGAACATAATTCATTTGAAACAAAAATCTTTATCTTCAGTATTGTACTTGTGCAATATTAACTTTTTGCCATTTTCAAAAATACAGAGATTTTGCTGACAATGGGACTAATTTTTTTATTGTCCTTTGATACACATGAGGAGAAAATTTAGTGAAGAAATTTGGAGCCGTTTTATAGAATAAAATTGTTTGAAAATTACCTAAATTTCATGCACAATTACACAATAACTTCTCATATTTCAAAACTTTGTTCATCCTTATTTCAAGATCTGTCTTTAAAGTACAGATTTCATTAATTTAAAACTGTATAGCGAGGAACAGCAATCCCTGTGCAGTGGGACTATGAAAGTAAAAGCTACAGAATGTTAAAAGTGAACTGAATCTTGAAATTAATATTATTAATTTACTAAAAAAACTAGGAATAATGTTAAGTAAAGAGGAAAGAAATTAGTAAGAAATAAGTTGTAATGAAAGGCTGCTTTGAAAATTAAATGAATGCCTTGCAAAATGAAAGTGTGCAGGTGTCTTTTTCACTTTTGTACACAAGAGATATCAAACCACCACAGATAATTTATTGGACATTTTGCAAATGGCAATTAATTTTTGCAAAAGTTATGAAAAACTTTTAAATTCAGTTGCATTGTGTATTAGTAAATATTTTAGTATGTGAATATAGTTGTGGAAATAATTAATTCTGAAATATTTAAATAAGTTAAATTATAGAACTGCAAAGTTTCAAAAATGTTGAAAATCAATTTGCAATTTTATTTTCAAGTATAAAAACAGTGGAAACCAGAAAATATTAGAGGTAAGTAATATGGAAATTGGAGTAGGAGTAAATAGAGTATTTTCACTGAAGAATATTTGAAACCAAATGGTAAAGTGAATTTAAGATGAACTGTAGAAACAGAATTTCTTTTTTTGCAAGTCATTGAAAATTTCAAAATAATTTTAAAACATATAGTTTAAGTATTTATGTATTGTTATGTTTTTAAACTGACATAAAGGATTGTTTATTTTTGATATTCATTGTGTAAAAGAGTAATGTCAAAATTGAATTTGAGATTATTTGATGTAGAAATTTCATAACAAGTTAATTATATAATAATATCTTGGATGAAGGTAATTACATTTATAGTACTCTCGGTTACATTAAGGTATTTTATGAATTAGTATTTAAACAATCCTGTCTTTGTACAGCTTTTGAATTACAGATAAGTAGGAGTCACGAAAACAATTGGTAGTAACCGCGTAAAAGGTTAGAGTTGTAGTGATGTAATAGATCCAAATAATATGTTCCATGAGTTGAGCCAATATAATTCATAATGCTCACCACATAATGCAATATCACGTGTCATTTGTGTTGAGTTTTCAAGATCAGAGTAAATTGGAACAAAAAGTTGTCAAGAATCAGAGATTAAATGTTGTAAATATGCATAAAATTACTAGTTCGTAGTATGTCATCTATAAAGATAAAAATATAGTTTAACGACCCACTTCTCTTCTGTTCTGAGGTGTTGCAGTTGGGCCAGATCTACTTGCAGAAAACATGAGTAGTTATAAAGGAGTAATACTAAAGTGTTAAGGATTAATTTGTACGTTCAGGGTGACATTCTTTAGATTTGCCACTGTGCATCCATAGTAATGAAGGAATTGTCTGAAAGAATGAATTAAATTAATGAGGTGTTATCTGTCAAATAACTAATTTAATTACTGAATTTATTATGGCCTAAAGGGTGGTGCCCACTCTCACCGTCACTGACAGAGGAAGAAGAGAGTGAGGTCTGCCCTGATGGGGTCTCTGGCACATGCCAATGAAAATATTATAGGCCTCTTGGCATGGACGAAGCCAGATAATTGTGTGTGGGAGGGTGTAATTTCAATTAAGACCTACTTTCATACATTTACATTCTCACAAATGTGGTGTAGCAAAACTTGTGTGTTGCTGCAAAAAATGGAAATTGAATTTTTCTGGAAATGCGTTTCATGAGACCGTAATACAAAAAGTTTTTTTTACTTTCTATCTACTTTATTGATAGGGAAAATTATGTAATTCTGCAGGAAAAGGATTTTTTCACAGAAAGGTTTTGTGGGTCCTTTATACTGCAAAAGATGATTTTTTTGCACCCATGTCTAGTTTGTTACTTTCTTGAATATATAGTAAGTCAGATTCCACATTTTGTGGGTCCTTGACAATGGAAAAGGGTTTTTATTCTTATGTCCAATATCTGTATAACACTAGCTCTTAAATCTTATACAGGATTTTCACCAAAACTGATATTTCCTTATTGATCTGGCTGATGTTGCAGACCCTCGACATTGAAGCATATTTTTGGGGACACTACATGAAGTCCGTACAACATTTTCAAAATTTTCTCAAATATGGCTTCAATTTTTTTCTCAAATGTAGGAGTGTATGCTTTTAAAATGGTGCAGGACCACTTTTCATTGAAACCCTTCAATTTTTTAAAACTGCAATGATTAATTTTTTTTTGAACTAATTATTAATAAACATAGGAATGTGCACAGCGACCATGCCCCCCTCCCCCACAAAAATTTTAAATGAGCCCTGAAGCCTTCAATAGTTTTTTACTTCCTTTAACTTTAATTCTTTATTATGTTCAATCTCTAGTTTTCCTCTTGTTTAACCTGACAGTTTGGGAAATTGTTATACAACCCTTGGGGAAGAGGCTATCAAAATTATCGGGCAACTGTATAACTAGTTGAAAATGTTACTTACTAATTGTATCAATAGAATTATAATTTCATTCTTATTGCCATATTTTTTATTCATTTACTAGAAAGTATGTCATACAAGATATGATAGTAAATAAAAAAGTTCAATGGCAAAGGAGCCCCAGAGATGTAGTTGCCTCTCTCCCCTTGTTTTAGGCCTATGAAGATTGATATTTTTTCATTATTACATCGCGTATTCAAAATTGGTTCTTTAAATAATTTCAAGAATAATTTTCTGAAAAGATAAATAGGTTGTATTCTCCAGTCCATATATATATATATATATATATATATATATATATATATATATATATATCGAACGTGTTGTGGGGCCTTCCTCAGAGCGTGCTTCTCCACAGGAAGACCACCACGACAGAAACGCGGCTCTTCCCGGATAGCCTAGACCAGGGTTGTCCAACTGGCGGCCCGCAGTACCATTTATAGTGCCCCGCAGTACCATAGTATAGTGTTAGTGGATTTTTTCTAAATTTAGCAACTGGATGTATCCACATTTTCGTTACCAGCGTTATTCTACATAACCTGTAATATTACACATTCGACCTAAACATTTTGAATAAAAAAAACTATCTCAATGAACCGATTACACTCGACTCACAGTCTGGCATTTATATAGTAACCCTAGAACGGAGAAATATAATAACTAAAGGGCGGATTATGTTGACCTAAAACATCGCCAAAAATGATCAATAAAATACACTTAAAAATGTTTTTACAGTGCCCTAAAGGCAAAGAATAATTACGTAATTTTTTTATCAAAACAGATTCACATGCGTAATTCAAGTTGTTAAATATGTTACTGATGTAATCGCAGTGTCGGATCGAGGGGGGCCTGCCCATCCCGAAAAGGCCCAAAGAAAAAAATGAAAATGGTAAAAGCGCAGGAAAGATAAAAATGTAGAAACGTCTAAAATATATCGAAAAAATAACCGCGAGTTCTGCCCTTGGCCTTTTTTGGAACGCATGGGAATCTAGATTCTCGTTGTATTTTAGCCCGCCCAATTCGGCTTCCGGGAAAACAGATCGACTGGACTACAAACACTGCGACTAACAGCAGACGTTGCAACTCGATTACAGAAAGATGAACCAGCACCAGCAGTTTTTCTCGACTTTACGACACCCTTCAACACGATCAACAACCGAAACCTTTTATACAAAATCAGTCCATACATTCCTTACTTCCTTCATGAACTTCTACAAAGCTACCTTTCCGACCGAACTTTTTACACTCACCATCTTCATTGTTCATCTACTTGCCGCCTCATCCAAGCCGGCGTCCTTCAACGCGCCGTGCTGTCACCCACGTTATTCTCCCTCTACACTAACGACCTCCTGACGACTTCACGTACAAATGACTACATATATGCAGACGACACAGCCTTGACCATAACCAAACGGAAACTACCTTACTCAGTGACTGAGCTACAGACTTCACTCGACAAAATAGCGAAGTGGGCAGACGAAAACAATCTAAAACTTAACACTGACAAATGCCTCACAATACTTTTTCATCGACATAACAGAGACCCTGCACTTCCCCAATTGACAATCAACGGAACGCCAATCAACCGGACCAAGACCACCAAATACTTGGGCATTACTCTTGACACCAAACTGACTATGACAATACACATTGACGAGACAGTTCAGAAAGCGAACAAACGACTAAACGCACTAATACCAGTCATCTGCCACCCCAAGACAACGACAAAGACAAGAATCCAAATTTACAAAACTTTTATTAAACCAATAGTAAAATACAACTGTGAAACCTGGGCGATGACTACAAAAATGAACTACAACAAACTGACAAAAACTGAAAACAAATTTACTAGACTCGCCTTCCGACCACCATCTGTGACTAATTACACACGACTAAAACACAAACTCAAACTGACACCTATCGACAAGATGTACACGTAAGCTTCCGCGGCTCGAATCCATAAATTCTCGGCTATCCGGGAGACGCGGCGTCGTTGGCTGGGCGAAACGTCGGCCTCCCAGCCAACGACG